TCGGTTGAGTCTGTGTAGAGTCGCGAGAAGATGGGTTTGTATGTCTGCCGGCTGGGAAGATGAACTTGTCGGGAGAATTGGTGTCGAAGCATAGGCACCCCAGGTTATTTCATTTGAATCAATACCCTAATCTAGCCGACCTAATCCCACCCAGTTAGTGTTAGGTTGGCTTAATCGATCAGGTGAAGTTATCTTGGGTGTTTAATCTTCAGGTGATCTGAGGATTATATTAAAGCAGTGTTTATTTTTTACAGTTGAATCACTTGAGACGCTCAGTGTGTGACGCAGTATAGTACATTGTCGCCAAATTATAAGCCTATTACAGGTTCCTTATGCAAGTCCTCCCTCTGTAGCACACACACACACACACAGACACGTGCTCACAAGGGCCCTCCACTAGCGGATATGAATCTGTCTTTATTATAAATCTTCTGCAAGTGTCCTCAGCACGTAAGGATACGATCATGTTTACGTGTGTGTGGGTGTGTGTGTGTGACAATAAAGGGACATCTCTCCATAAGGTAAAAAATATCCACTGTTATTATTTAAATGATCATTTCGTCAGTAATATGTCGTCTCTCTTCGGGGGCGTTATATTGTATTTCCTTAAGCTTTGTTGTCAGTAGAGAGAGCAGTGAGGTCTCGTGATCGTAGAGGGTCATCACCGCTCAGTTTAGTCCCGCATCATACACCGCTTTTATTATGACAGATGCACTCTATTTGATCCATAGGATCAAATAGGTTTATTTTTAGTTATAAGGTAAACATACAGTATCTCGCCAGGTTATGAACTAAGGGCACCTAAGATATGTCTGGCACGATCTTCTGTTGAGACATTACTTTATGGAATGAGTAAGCTAGTAGGTTCTAATCTTATGACGAGGAACATTGGTGTTACCCACAGTTTTACTTTATCAACTCTTGGGGTCTACAAATTAACACGATGAATATTGAAAACACAGCGAAGCCTAGCGAGAATACGGTTTATCCCCGCCAGCAAAACTCTGGACCATGCACCGTTTTCTGTTGAGTTTTTCTTACATTCACTGTCTCGTAAACTACATCCCAGCGAAGACATCGTACAGTACAGACAGAAGTTCTCCATTTTTACAATACACGGAGACAAGCCATCAAGTGGAGACAGTGAGGCCAATGGTTTAGGAGTTCCTGTCGGGGGAGATTGTCTATTTAGAGAAGAGAGTACTGTACGGCCTCTCGAACACCGATGGGGAATTCCTAGAGAAAGGAAGACTCGGTGAAGGAGAGCTCCTATGGTGGGCATCTAGAAAGACAGGAAAGACTCTTTTAAAGCAGATATTTCTAGACAGGACTACAGAGACAGGAGAGAAAAGAGGAAACTAGACGGGAGGTTTATTAGAGAGAATCTCTACAGACGAAAAGACTACCAAAGCCGTACTGAATAAGATCTCAGAGGAGAGGATTACTGTGTATAGCAGTTGGTGTCTGCTGCACCTCCTATAAGGCATCTATTTCCCACTCCTGTGACTCCGTCTTGAGCGGCGGTACTGACCTGACGAAGTGCCGGGTGCAGAGGTTGGCACTAACAGCTAGCTCGGACTACATCATGAACACTCAAGAGTTATATTGACCTGTGTGAGGGGAACAGGCAGCTCTGACGACTGTTGGAGAGAAGGGCCTGTCGGGGGTAGAAAGTTTGAGAATGTGAATTTGCAAAACTGAAATCTGTTGACATAATTCATGGGCTTACCTATCATGTGTCTGAAGAACATCGCTTATATCCTCATTGGTAGGTACTGTGATGTTACGTCATTAGTTGCCATGTGTCTTTGTCGTGTTATGTCATAAGTAATCTTAGAACAGAAGCCCAATAATATTGTATCATACAGTAAACATCTGATGCCTGAAATAAGTGTGAAGCCTGAGGTTTACCCGCCAGCCACCGCAACAAAGTATTCTTTCGACATTGCTCTATTTTCACACACACACACACACACACACACACACACACACACACACACACACACACACACACACACACACACATATATATATGTCAGGATGGATAGCTGCCAACTTTACTGGACTATCAACAAACAGTGTGGAAAAAATCACTGCGCTTAAATTATAGTTGCTTTTAGCCCTTTTTTCATTCTGATTGGGGTTTTTTCCACCCTGGTAATCATTCATACCGTGTGTGGCGCCACTATAGTTCACTTGGTTTGTGTAGTCTGTTGCCAGAAATTATTTAACTCGTAGTTTCAGATTCAATTGATAGATATGTGGTAATATTATGAGGGTATGTGGCACTGGTAGTTTTATGCGGGTATGTGGTAATCTGTGAAAGCATTCTGTGCGTGTTTGGTAAATCGTTTCGACGGTTCACTCCTAACCAAGCCACAGCTGCCAATTCAAAAGGTAAATCGAACACGCGACTGATATGATCCATTGACATTGGAAGGGGTGGATGTAATTGCTTTGTTATCCCAACGCGGATATCCTCCCATCCACACGCTCAGTCAACTATTACTGTGATGAAGAAAACTCCCGGTTATATTTCCATATTTCTTTTCCCCCTATTTCGATGTTGCCTTTTTAAAACGCATGAAATAAAACGCGTTAAAAGTTAATTTCAGTAAAAGGTGTTGCCCCCAACCTTTGAATTGTTTAATTGGATGAACATACGGGGGAATTATTGTTCCATAATTTTTTCTCGTTGTTTGGGTTTTCCTGCAGGGGATTAAATGGGTTAATTTACGTAAACACTAACCAAGAGCAGTCGAATTATGTCTGTTGTTGTGATGCCACGGTGGTGTCTGTCTGTCTAGAGATCACGGGAGTGTTTACCATCAGGTGTTCCTCAGAGGTGGCTGTCAAAGCAAGATCACACTGTGGCGTCAGCCATTATTGTCAAAGCAAAATCACAGCGGTGTAAGCTACCTGAGCAGCAGTGACGGTGTGTGTATGTTTGCGTGAGTGTAATAACTCGGGTAATGTTATACACCTGAGTGGCGAGGATTACCGGGAGAGAGGCACCGCGGAACACTTCAACATTTAATATCCGTCAACTGCCCGAGGCCCGACAAGCTGGGTGTCGGGTGACGGACATGAGCACTGGCAGTCTCACTAAGCTCACCTGATGTGTTCGGGGGAATTAATTTCGGTTGGGTAAAATGTCCGGTTGGAGAGGCGTTATTACATTATGGACAAGTGTTAGTCCCGTTCTTTTTTTTTATGCTACGATAATTACATTTACCAAAGCTACGATACTTGATTTCTATGGTTGTCGATTAAACTCTCCGTTGTTCAGACCTGTGTAAATTAATCAGGAATGGTGAACTCATAAAATAAATATTGTTATATACAATTCTGAAGTGTATTTACGGATCACTTTATTTTACAAGTCAGGTCAAAAGTTATTGTCGTTCTTATTTCCTCTGTTTATTTACCCTCTCCCCCCCCCCTCTCCCCCCCCCTCCCCGTGGCTTTTCCCCATCACCCCTGGAGCGTGAAAATCATTACCTGTTGTTTCCTCAGTACTGTTAACGGGTACACTTGACTGTATTACCCTTCTCCCACCCCTGGACCTTGGTGGGTCATTTTGTGGTTGCCAGTAGAGTTGACGGGCGTGTCCGAAAGCCGCTAATTTAACTATAGGAGGGAAAATGAGGAACAGGAACATTGGCAAAGAAGGAATATAAAGAAGAATAGGAGAGGCAACGAATGAATATAAGAAAGAAAAAGCAGGAAGGAAAACTAAAAGAAGAGAAGATGAGGAGGAAAATTTATTTTAGTGTGAGGATAGGAGGAAGGGAGGAAAAATAAGAAGATAAAGGGTAAAGAAGAAAAATTAGTGGGAGGAGGATAAGGTGGAAGCTAGAAGGGATAAATTAGGATGAAGAGAAGGAAACAAGGAAGATAAGTAAGGAAGCGGAAACGATTACCAGTAAAACGCAACAGGTGAGCTCAGTGTCCCGGTGTGAGGAGGTTGACTCTGGATTAATGAAAGATGGTCGCTCGTGGCCCCCTCACTGATTAAAACCTGTCTCACCTGAAACAAACACTGATGTGGACTTGGGTGTGGCGTCGTTAACCATCACTACACCTCCCTGACCATCACTACACCTCCCTGACCATCACTACAACCCCTGACCATCACTACACCCCCTGACCATCACTACACCTCCCTGACCATCACTACACCTCCCTGACCATCACTACACCCCCTGATCATCACTACACTTCCCTGACCATCACTACACCTCCCTGACCATCATTACACCTCCCTGACCATCACTACACCCCCTGATCATCACTACACTTCCCTGACCATCACTACACCTCCCTGACCATCATTACACCTCCCTGACCATCACTACACCCCCTGATCATCACTACACTTCCTGATGACCATCACTACCCTGACCATCACTCCCTGACCATCACTACCCTGACCATCACTACACCTCCCTGACCATCACTACACCTCCCCATGACCATCACTACACCCCCTGACCATCACTACACCCCCTGACCATCACTACCATCACTACACCTCCCTGACCATCACTACACCCCCTGACCATCACTACACCCCCTGACCATCACTACACCTCCCTGACCATCACTACACCCCCTGACCATCACTACACACCCTGACAAATAGTTTTAAATTAGTTATATTTCCTCGTATCTGGTAAATAAAATACAAGCGATTACTGTACTGTAATATAGTTTTTTTTCCTTTTATTTACGGTTTATTAATGTAGAATTTTGGACAGTCTCATATTAATGGTCTTTTTAACAGGTGGGTAATATTATGTTGGTATTTTGATGATTCTCTACCATCACGTGTTACACTTACAATATACAGTATCTCTGGGTATACCATCCACTCCAACCAATCATCAACTTTTCAGTTCTGTTTCACTTTATCACGTAATTCCATGATAAAACTAGTTTTTGTTCCACCACAGGTTCTTGTCTATAATCATTCTGAAAACTATGATCTTGTTCCTCAGGCGAGGCCATCCATCTGGCGCGAGATTTTGGGTACGTTTGTGAGACTGAGTTCCCCGCACGCCAGATCGCCGAGTACCTGTGCCGTCAACACTCAGACCCCGCTGAACAGTACCGGCGCAAGGAACTAATTCTTGCCACAAAGTAAGTGTCATAAAGAAGATATCTTCACCGCGTGTCTAGGTCCATGTGTATATAGGTATTTGCGGACTGTATTTTCAACATTTGTTAATATATCACGATAAAAATATTTGTCAGTAAAAATATATAAAAAATTAAATGTTTTGGTAAGGCACTATTGTCATAAATATAGATGTTCATTTTAATAAGTTTAGGTTATATATCTTTTCGTTAAGGATGTGTTAATAATTAGTGATGGCTAAGAATAAAAAAAATTTATTTTGTTTTATATTCATGTAATTTTGTTATAGTAGTGTATTTTTACAGTATATATTCGTGTAATCGTTCGTATTAATAAGGCTGTGGAAAATTGTAGTACTGGTGTTGATTCGATGCAATTTGGTTTATAAGCTTCCCGTAACCCCAATGTTTAAACTGAGATTTTTATAAGATTTATGTAATACTGGCATTGATGTTAATATTATTTGTAGAGATGTTTTGTAACGCATTATTATTCTTGAAGGCAAATCACCAAAGAACTGATGGACCTGCTGAACCAGGACAGGTCTCCGCTATGCAATACCCGGCCGCAGATCATCCTGGAGCCGTCCATCCAACGACACCTCACACACTTTTCTCTCATCACCCACGGCTTTGGTTCCCCTGCCATCGTCGCCGCACTCACAGCCATTCAGGTTGGTGTATATAAGTCACATACAGTACTGTGACCACTCATGATAACACGGTAACACCAATGATTTACTTTCTGGCTGTTACTTTACACTTCTGTATGCTGTCTGTACATATAGTATTTATGCCAATGTTCTGTAGTGTAGACACAGTCTCATACATCCGCTTGTTCTATAACAAGATTCAGCTTTCAAACACATTAGTTCCAGGCTTTTGGTACAGGAGGCACAGTAGTGTGGTTGGCACTGCACTGACCAACTCCACTTACTCAACTGCAAAGGCATTTATAGGCACATAGACTGAGGGTGCCCCAGGATCAGATCAGTGACTCCAAGGACAGGAAGTAAATGTTGTACACATTCAGCCGCAACAAAACATAGCCAATATTAACTCAGTAAACATGAAATCTTTGTCATTTACAAAATTCCATATATTATAAGTTATCCCAATATTAGAAATTAGTCATCACAAATATATTTTACATTATTGTACTACCAACCATCATCATCATCAACCATTATCATTGTTATACCGACATTTACCACACTTGCTTGGGATAAGTGAGATTATCTGATGGAAGTTTTTGCCGCCTCTTTTGTCAGGTGCTTATCTATTAGGTCATTTCTCACAACCTCTCCCCATATCATTCATGACCTACCCATAACTCTCCTCCCTTCTACCAAATTCAAGCTTTTACGTCTTTTCTTGGCCTAGTTGATCTCCCTTTTCTCTACATGTCTGAACCACCTAAGCGTACCTCTATGTAAAACATCGCCAGTACATTACTTCAAAACCCAGGCATGCTCATGGCAGGGTTTCCTATTTCTCAACGTCACATCACAATCATTTCACCATACACATTTCAGTTCGTTCAACATTATATAATTATGTCATCCTCTTTAATTACCCGTGTTTTATTCTTATACATCACACTAGCTTTGGCACCACTGTAGTTTTTTGCATTTTAGTGCATCACCTTTACCCTTGCAAGCATTAACAATAATGCTCTTCAACCTCTCAGAAGGAGCAATACATTCTACCTTAATGCATTAGTCGACTTAGTCACCATCGTCACATTAACATCATCTGCAATTATTCCAGAGATAAAAGTAGCCTTTCCATTCTTCATTTTGTTGAATGTTTTCTTCATCCATTCTCTTTCAATCCTTTGGTACCAACCCTGTACTGGCTTTGCTTCTAGGCTGCTTGTCTCAATCGAACTCCTCATTCAGTAGATGATTGCACAGTAATATATTCTCCAAGCATTTACCGGTACTCATATTTATATGTTAACTCTAAGTGATGAACTCATCTGCAGTATCATCTAATAAAATAATTTCCTTTTACAGAATTTCTTGACGGAATCCCTGAAGCACCTTGAGAAGTCCTTTCCATCTTCCAACTCCCACCTCACTGTCACACCCTCCATAGATCTCAAGAACAAGGATATGGAAAAGAAATAACGGTGTGGTCACGTAACTCACTTCCCCCTTTCCACCTACACCACCGCCAGCCAGCCACCGAGAGTCAGACAATATGAGTCATTCCTCAGTTTTTGGTATGGCTCGTGAGGATGCAAACTCTGCCGTAGTTTGCAGTCATCAAACCTGTGTTGTCTTCAATTATGCCTCACTTTTATTTTAAAGAATCATTGCTCTCCTGAAGACTCACTGCCGACACAAGTTCGGCAAACAGTTGGTCATATGACTCTATAAGCTTGGCCTGACGGTCGCTGTTTGTAAATAGAACTTTATAAGTTTTAAGGTTGATACATGGCTGTCATGGGGCTAGCTGTGTACTGATGGCAGCAGAAGTGCAATAACGCACAAGAGATAGTGCATAATACTCAGCTTTGTGGAAACGAAATGAAAAGACTATAGAAGTGATTTCTGGGAAATTTATTTTAGTAATTTCACCTCTTCTAAGAGGTCTAATGAATCTCACAATCAGTAGAAGGTTATAAGTGTAGTTTGCTAAGGTTTGTACAAATGCCATATTGCCATATTTTATTTTGATTGTTAAGGTTATCAAACACCTAATATTTACAACTACAGTTTAGAGACAAATGAGATTAGTTTGCGGATATTTGGATACAAAGTGAGACAGTGTTCAGCTATTTCATGTGCCACTCATGATGCCCAGATTGAAATTCTATTGTGATGATCTACCATTTAACAGTATTGTCTACAGAATACTTTGTTTTGTATCTAGTAAGTAGCCAAACTTTGTACGTTAGTAGTGTCAGGGTGAATGACCCTCCGAGGTTTTTCACATCCCATACATATCTGCCAAAACAATGTACCAAGTGCAATCTCTTGGCGATGTGATTTATAAATTAGGTTAATGGGCGCCTTTGGGACAAACTGACTAGTTATGACAATGAGGTCATACCAGCCTCTATAGATGTAATATTTTGTTGTCAGTTACCCAAGTTGTCCCATGTTTTGTACAGTGTAGAAAGAACCTACAGACTCTATCTCTCTTTGGATGGGACTCTCTCACCTAACCTCTTGGCTGGGAGTAGTTTAGCGTTAATCTTACGTAGGTGATAGGAGCCAAGCCTCTCACAGACACGAGTTTCGGTGTCCAACAGGCATGACAAAAGTTATATAAATTTCACTCCCTTACCTCCTTGCACTTGATACTTTCAAAATGTCTCTCTATCTGTTACTTTTGTTCTCCAATTTTGTTATCGAGATGTGAATAGTACGTGATCTCTCAAAAGTGATCTGCATCTTTCCCCAAGTACAATCAAGGGCGTGAAATTAGCTCGCCCATATTTATAAGCTGCTTCAGCACTTTTTTCTGTACAATTCATGCTTGTATTATTTACATTCTTTATCATATCACTGCTTAGTATCAGTATTTAGTTTCACTAGTCTTGCTCACTGTTCCTTTGTATTCTTCTTATTAAGCATTAGAAATTCTATCATGCTTGTATGAATTTCTATTTTTCTGTATGTTAATATTTTGCTAGAATGACAGTACTTCAGTATATCTTGTAAGACATTTTTGAAGACTGTTTTATTCTTGTCTCCTGCTCTATTATATCCCAAAATAAGGGTGTGTTATAACTTCACTGTGATCCCTTAGGAACCCAGTGTACTGTAATTTAAAATATTTTTCTATTTTTCCTTGTACACAAGTGAACAATGTGATGTATGTACTTAGTTGGTCCAATAGGTCATAATAAAGTGTGTTGCCATGAATGTATCTTAAAGTGTAATGAGAGCAGCAATTATTATCTTTGGGTGCTCATTCAGAAAGGCTTTTTCAGTACTGTACTGTACTGAAAATTGTGCTTAGTGTAATAATACTCAGGATTTCTAATTGATGCTCATATAACACTCTCTTGAATCTGTTGTGAATCTGACCCAGTGGTTTACTTTGGGTCATGGTGACAGTAACCTATTTGTTTATATTGTATTCTGTGCTTTGAATATTCCGATTCTCAATAAAGACAACAAGGGCTCTGGGTAAGATGCACCCAACAGAAACCTCATATCAAGACCTCCTGTGGTCCTAGTTTATTCTACTTACCCCATTTTACTCTCTGCCCTTCCATATGTCTGCAAGTATGGCGTTGCTCAGACACTTTTCTTCTACAAAGGAAAGACTTTTTGTTGCCCAATTTCATGTAATGTTATATTATTAAATAAGGTATTTTATACTGTGCCGCCCCACTGGCACATGCTCTCCACAACCTGGTTGTTTTGTGTGTTCCTCCATAATGGATGGTACCATCGTGTTGTATAGTTTATCTGTCAACTTGAAATAATTTTAATGCTAAAGGATGCCATATGTAGAATAATAATAAAAATCTTAACAAGACTAGCATATATTATATCTTACCTACTACCACAATTTGGTGGTTTGAAAAGATTGATGATTGTAATATAAATATTATAAAACTAGTGCAGTAAATTACGGCATATTTACATAAAACCATCATTCATGGCATGCATTTATCAGGCATAAATAAAAGTAAAAATAAAAATATATCTATATATATACAAAACAAAGAAGTATGTGTTTGTGTGTCCGCACGAGAATCTCGGAACCTACTTTACCGATCTGTAGTGATGATGGATGGTGTTATATGTAGTGATGATGGATGTTGTTATATGTAGTGATGATGGATGGTGTTATATGTAGTGATGATGGGTGGTGTTATATGTAGTGATGATGGATGGTGTTATATGTAGTGATGATGGGTGGTGTTATATGTAGTGATGATTAGACAATATAATAATAGCAGTTTAATGCTAAAAAAATATACTTCGCTGTACCGTTGTAGTGGAACTTACATACACCGTTAATGAACTATTGATGGAAGAAGAAGTTTTGGGGACTGAACAGTAGTTGCAAACAGGGAGTTGCTCAGAGAGACAGACTACTCAGTTGAAGTTCTGGTGAATTTTCTTGAAGAAAATGGGCCTCACCTGGTGCCTGATCAAGCAAATGCTTATGAACAGTTCTTGCAAGCGATACAAGTGGAGCAGGGAGGTATGATCTTTCTCAATGCACCTGGCGGAACAGGAAAAACATTCCTGATCAACCTTCTGTTGGCCAAAGTACGTCATCAGGGGAAAATTGCTGTTGCTGTGGCATCCTCAGGCATTGCTGCAACACTACTAGAAGGAGGACGTACTGCACACTCAACTTTTAAACTGCCTCTCAACCTCGCTCACAATGAGAATCCAGTGTGCAACATCAAAAAAGGATTGGCAAAGGCAAAACTCTTAGAAAAATGAAGCATCATAGTCTGGGATGAATGCACTATGTCTCACAAGTTAGCGTTTGAAGCATTGGACAGGACCTTGCAAGACATACGAGAAAATGGCCATCTCATGGGTGGCATTACAATGGTCATTGCTGGAGACTTTCGCCAGACCCTACCTGTCATTCCTCGAAGCACTCCAGCTGATGAACTGAATGCGTGCCTCAAGGCATCATACCTTTGGAGAAGTGTTCAGACACTCACCCTATCCACAAACATGAGAGTACATCTACAAGGAGATCAGGATGCTGGACGGTTTGCAAACCTTCTACTACAGATTGGGAATGGAACTTTCCCTGTTGATTCAGAAGGGCAAATAATCATTCCGCACGGATGTCGAAATGTTGTAAAGTCCTCAACTGAGCTCACTAACATGGTCTACCCAAACATTATCCACCACTACAAGGATCACAAGTGGCTGCGTGAACACACAATTCTGGCACCAAAGAATGAACAGTGGCTGAAATCAACATGACTCTACTCAGACAGCTTCCAGGCAGTGAGACCTCATTCAAATCTGTTCATACAGTAATCGACCAGGACCAAGCAGTCCAGTACCCTGCAGAATTCCTTAATTCTTTGGAGCCCGCTGGAATGCCTCCTCACCACCTCACTCTGAAGATTGGAACTCCTATAATGCTCTCAAGAAATCTTGAACCACCAATCCTCTGCAATGGCACAAGACTGGTGGTGAAGAACATGATGCCACATGTACTGGAAGCTACAATACTGACAGGAAAAGCTAAAGGAGAGGACGTTTTTATACCAAGGATACCTCTCATCACCACTGACCTGCCATTTGAGTTCAAGCGACTTCAGTTCCCGGTTAAAGTGAGCTTTGCCATGACCATCTACAAAAGCCAGGGACAGTCCCTAAAGATGGTTGGCCTAAACCTGGTGTTTCCTTGCTTCTCTCATGGACAGTTCTATGTTGGATGCTCCAGAGTGGGAACTGGCAAAAATCTGTACATACTTGCTGCTAATGGCAAAACCAAAAATGTGGTCTACCTTAATGCACTACAGTGAGACAATGTGGAGCCTCCCGGAGGGTGGCGCCTACTGTGGCCTAGGAAAGAGCCGCTCGGAGGGTGATTCCGCTTGTAATGAATATATGAACACTACCTAGTTCACAAACATTATAATACCAATTATATGTATATATATATATATATATATATATATATATATATATATATATATATATATATATATATATATATATATATATATATATATATATATATATATATATTTATAATTTAGGACAGTTTTCGGAGAGAGAATTGTGAACTCTTGAAACAATTTGCAGGGGAGTGTTGTAACGGCACCGAGTGTGAGCTGTTTCAAAACCAGACTTGACCAACACTGGAGCAGGTTCAGGTACATTCAGGAACTGGTCCATGCCCAGTACTTGCCAACAGTGTGTAACAGAGACGTGACCGACCGCCTATGAGGCTAACGAGCCAATCAGTGGCGAAGAGGATAAAATTAAAAAGTAAATTAACCTTAGATATATAATTTTTTATAACAGTTCACATAATGGATCTATAGTAAATTTTTGCAAAAAAAAATACGTTACAGATTATTAGCAAAATTTGATAAGAATAAATGGATTTCAAGCTTATTAGGAACCTTCGTATATTTTTTTGGTTATGTGAGATTAGATTACGTAATGTGAGATTTAGGTTAGGTTAGGTTAGGTTGAAATTATTTTTTTCAGGTGTATTTTTATGTGTTTTGAACTATTCTGACCCACTTCCAAAAAGGTACATGATTGAAACGATAAGTTTACTTGAATAATAATGGCATAATTTTTGTAGAGAGTAGGGATACATCAAAAGTTGTTTAAGAGATGAACTTGTTCCTTTGGTGTAACATTAATAAAAATAATTTAGTTGCTGCTCTTCCCATACTGATAAACGTTTTCTATTTTAAGATCATGTTTACAATGGATCACTTTCATGTCAGGAAGTAAAGTCTTTAACATTTTCATTCCTCGCATTAAAGTAAATAAAGAAGTAAATTTATAATAATAATTGTAGAAGTGAATACATAAATACATTAATTGTTTTCGTATACAAAAATTTAGATACAATTTATGTTTTTATTGAAATAATTATATATCTTTGGAACGTTGAAGGTTGATTAGTAGAAGGTTGGGTCACTAGTGCAATACTACTACTCTTGTTAATTATATCCAGTAAGGAAGAAATACCTGTCTTGTACCGGAAAGTGAACTCTTCTTGTAGTGTATATCTTCCCTAGCTACTATAAAAACAAATCTCTTTTATGATAGAACATGTTGATTGTGAAATAAGGAGATAGGAATAAAAACTAATATTTCTATTGGATATTATATTCTTAGTGGATATTTTGTCATGACTGGTTAAGTTCCTTCTAATGTTATTTTACCCTGAGTGCCGCTCTGAGTGGCTAAGTACTTTCTGTTTAATATGATGGGGGGGTGTTGCGCCCCCCCCCCCCTCCCCCTGCTAGGTAAGGTTAGGTAGGTTTCTTTAGTTGATTAGGTCAGGTTCTATTAGGTTGTAGTAAATGTCACCTCTTTTATAATAAGTTTCCATGCACAACAGGAATATGGTTAGGTATGTTTACAGCTACACAGCAATCGACTTTTGGCAAAATAAATGCCAAGTGCTGCCAGAGTCACGGTCAAATGTAGTTCTCGCGTTGTTCGCCGGTAATGGAAGATTAACCAATCAGAGCGAACTCTCGGTAAAATAGCATTAGCAGGAACTAGCCGGTCATGGCAAAATATCCACTGCCATTTATAATATTTTTTTGTAAAGTTGGAGCAGTTGGCTAAGACCAAAATGTATTGTTCGATTTCATTCATTTTTTCCACAGATGTTCTTTGGATGATAGTAAGTAATAAAATGATGCCACAATGCACAGAACCTAATAGAACCTGATCCAACCAACAAAAGAAAGCTACCTAACCTCCTAGCAAGGGGCTCTGCCCCCGAACCCCCTGGTGTGTAAGCCTAACCTAACCCAACAAGATGAGAAAACATAAAATATCTTAAAGAAACCAAACCTTACTTTTAACTTTTACTTTTTATACTTTTATCCTCTTGGCCGCTGATCGGCTTGTTAGCCGCTTGGGCGGTCGGTCACGTCTCTGTTACACACGAGTATCACGTGACATTGACACTTATGCCGATTGGCTGAGTAAGAAGCAAACAATGTATATCCCCATGTACTTGTACTTTCTTAAGTGAAGTCGAACAGTGAAAATAACTCAACAACTATAAATTTCCAACATAAATGCTATAGTGCTCCCTATAGTACTGTATAAGAATCAGTGTACCGGTAAAGTTCTGTGCATGGTCACCATGGAATATTAACCAATTTTTCTTATTTAGAAATTAATTCTGAATCAATTTTCTTCAATGGTATTTCTTGTGCAAATTGTTAAAAATGGAAATATAAACAATATTTGTGTTGATTAAAATGAGCTTCTGTTAATGTGCTCCTTTAAAGTATTCCTTGCCACACGAGACCTTCCTATGAATGGTGGATCATACAGTATGCACCATCACACTCCTTAAGAACAGAAAAATTCCTTTCAATGTGGCACCAATATTATTCTGTTATCTCCAGCCACTCTTGCTTGCTACATCCTCTAATATATTCCATTTAAATTATTTTCAAGATTCCATAGCAGTCACTGTTATCACTATGGACTCTCATAGGTGGGCGGTCAATCACAGCCATGGACACACCTAATTTAAATTTGCTGTATACTTCATATATCTTGGCATACGGCAATGGTTTTATGGTTGTATCCACACATCTTAGCTCTAGTCAAATAAAATGAATATATCGATCATCAGTTGCAAATGACGACAAATATGCTACACTGATTGACACAGTCACATTACCAAAACAAATAAACACTTATAATCACTTATACTGTATTACTGCACAATGGAGGTCTTGGGTTGGTGAGGTGGATAGTGAGATAAAATACAGTATTTAAAAGGCTAGCTCACTGTACATCTAAAAATGCCATGTAAAGTATATTGAGAGGCTTCTTACCAGCAGCGAAGTGATTGCTGCTCTCTGAATTTTGTCCAGCCGCTTTTCCCATTGTTTCTTGCTTAAATCCTTGGCTTTTTCATCATAATGAATATAACAGCCATTGTATGTGGAGAGTTTTCATTTTTTCTTTCTGAACGATTACATTAGGTGAAAACTTGCATAAAATTTCCCTGTTGCTAACAAAACTCCAGTTTCACTTAGCTATGTTCTGTTATGTTATGCCATGTTATGGTGTGTTCCCCAAGAAGGTACTGATCGTATACTCATGTGATGCATTATGTCATGTACAAGGGGTCTATTTATACAGTATACTGTATAGCCTTTACTATATGCAATATAAGGTATGTATTAATATTGGGACATTGAGCCATTGTTCAGCATCATACATTGTGAAGTGTGTAATAATGGATTAAAGTAGCTGTGGTTAATTTGTGTTTCTTTGAAATCTAATTTGGCACAAAGTTGCACTCTTAACATTTTAAATGTCTTACAAGTTACAGTACAGTAAGTGAATAGTTAGGTTAAAAAAACTCAAGCTGCATTGGTGAAACTTTGTGGTTGGTGGGAATAATCATTGCCTGTTCTTCATGTCAGTTATTGAGATTCCTCATCAAAATGTAGCTTTTTTTTTTTATTATTGATATGCTTTTGTAAACTATGACTGTGTGAAAATGTAAATGATTTTTTCATTGTGTTTCACAAGAACAGTGTACTGTATGAGTATTTATGGCATTTGCATGTTTAACATAATGACATACAGGTACTGTACAGTAAGTATTTCGGAAACGTAAATAGATTTTTTGCCGATACAGGGTAATTGTGTTGAGCTAATATTAAAGATATTTAGATTGATGGTTGCCAAAAGGTTACAACAGGTCACAGAGAAACAGTGTGTTAGTGTGAGGGGGCTGATATAGTCATGGTATATGAAAGTAAGGGGTGACAAAATGCAACTATTGTACAGTAATTTTGTTGAAAAGGAAGCATATCACTCTCTCATTCCTCCTCGTGTATTTATTTGTTTTATTTGTTTTATTTTTTACCAGATATAAAGGACTGCTCAGTGTAGCAGTAGCACAGCACCAGTTATGGAGCTTTCACCACATGTACAAGAGAAGCTGCACTCAGGGCACAAGCTTACTGCTGTATCCTTACCTTGCACTGCATTATGTATTTTATTATGATATTTGGAGAGCTCTTTTTTATTTTGCTTTTTCAAGATTTTTTTATTTAATTTATTAATTGCCTGTTATTAGCTTTTTTACATTTTGTTTGTATGGTTTTAATTTGACTACTGTAATACAGTGCAATACTGTAATGTACAAAGAGTCATTGACCTGTGCCCTGGTGGGCTAATCCCGTAAAAAAAAAAATGCATTACAAAGCTAAATTTATATCCAAAAATTATTGGATACAATTTAGAAGATGAGAAGAGAGAATGTGTGAGTGCATGCATGCATATACACATACTGTGCAAGCAGTTCCCAACTTACGAAGGTTTGGTTTATGAGAATTAGAAGTTATTAAAAAAATTAATAAATCCTATAGCTAATTTGATTTACAAATTATTTTCTTTATGCCATTTTTTTTATTTTTTATTTAATGATAAAGAAAAATGCTAAAATAATGCAATTTTTTGTTACCAGTATGCTTACTTATTTCACTAATGTATTCTCTAACACTTGCAATGCTATGAAGTCAACAAGTAAGCTTTCAAAGTGTCATTATTCTCCTACAGTCACCATATAACTTACTCCTCAAACTCACTGGGGACCGGTACAGTACTGTACAGTAATGTTGACTCATCTCCATTATGCACACGGTCACTCAACCAGTTGCCTGACTTTCCAGTTTCTCCTCATTTACTATCATGTAATGTGTGGAAAATTATATAAACAAAAATTTTCTCTTCACAAATTTCAAATGTTGATTATGCACAATAAAGGTGTAGAGTTGTTATAGAAATTGTAAACGCTGTGTAAACAAAACAGCGGGAATTTAGGACGGTGCAGTAACTCATCGAGGGTCGAACGTGTTAAATTTTTTAAATTTGTAAAGAATGTGTCTCCAATTATATAAATAGGAATGAGTGTATTTCTATGGTAATATAATTGTTATAGATGTTGGCATTTTGTCTCATACTGTTCACTTTGTATTTTAAATCTCATTAGGTTTCTCATAAGCACAGGTATAAAATTATTACTGTATTATACTCTACTGCATGTACGGGGGGTGGGGGTTATTTAATTTAATATACTGTACAGTCAGTTTTCCTATAACTCATGTTTTCATTATGCAAATTGGTTATAATGCAATGAATGTACAGTATTCGGGAATACGGTACATTTTTTACAGCACGGATACAAATTCGGTATACAGTAATGTGATTGAGTAAACATAACTATGTCGTGCAAGTAGGAATAAGCTGTTGTGCAACTGCCTTGGCGTAGCATCACACAAGGTGGGATACTGGTAGACGCTTTTAGATGCTGCCCACGGCGGCAATTTGGTAATGAAAACTGTGGTTGGTAATGACTGAAAATGTTTTGGTATCAACCCTGAATATTTACACAGTTAACATGTGTGATCATAAGGGGTGAATTTGGAGGAGGGTAGTGATGATTTTATTGCCCCATATGACTGAAATATTATTGATTCAGTGTAAACAATTTTATGTATACAGTACAGTACTGTTTTGTATAAAGATAAACTATTAGAGTAATTTTTGTTTTCCTTAATATATTTATTTTATTTTTTATTTTATTGTTGCTAAAAAAATGGGTATTGAAACACCTGATTTGGTAATTAATCTATGGGACTCTTTCATAAATTGGGGAATACACAGCTGTAGTCAAAGAGCAAATAATATACAGCTATTACTAAACTGCAATACTGTATCTGTATCACCTAACAGATTATATTTGGATAGGTTGTTAATAATTTTTTATTTCTGATTATGTATTAACTAATAATTCATCGAAGTATCAGTGCAGTATGTAGTTTACAGAATCTGATTTGAAAATTTTTAACATTTCTTATACTGTACAGGGTTCTGAAGTGTTGCCTGCTCTTTTATGTTGCTGCTGTTCACTGCTGGTAGTACAACCCTTAACCAAGTATCCCAGGTAGTTGAAGCTGGACTTGTGCAAGAATTTATCAAGACGACACGTGTAGTAGCACTGATCGAAGTAACAACACAGGAGGTGAAGCAGGGTGGAGAACAGGCTCTACTAATCTTCCAGACTGCACGGGTACCAGTTCACAGTGCAATTGATCTCAGCATTGAGCAGGTTCTTCCTATAGACACCAATCTCAAATGTGAAATTGGTGAGTACGTAGAGTAAATGTAGTGGGGTGACTACAGTATTTGGTTCTAATATTTGTTATTTTTTTCTACTAATACAGAGTTTGACCTTTGATAAAGCTGCAACATTTGTAAGTATGCACTTGATTTAAAACATTTGCCTGAAGTCTGCCTCATTATAAATTATTAAATACAGTAGAATTTGTTTTTCATTTAAAATTTGACAAGGCCTAAATGAAAAAAGTAATGTATTATTTCACAGTTAGTTGGAAAACACTGAAGTTTCTTTATTTGCAATAAGGAATTAATACAGAATGGTTCAATCCAGTAATAGGAGAACAGTGGGTTTTAGAGGGGATTATGCCTCCTACTTATAATTCATTGTGGAGCTTAACTTACCCAGTTTTGGTGTAAGGGCAAAAAATATAGTTATTGCTTATGCACTTAAATTTAACAAATATAGACAAGGCATTCATATGCTGTAGCTACTGTACTGTACTCCATGAAATAGAATTAACCCCCCCACACACACACACACACACACATGCATGTATACATACCTGAAGTAGTACAGTACAGTATAGGGACATTTTCAGAGATTAGGACTGCTGGAGGATCCTGTAGAATTTTGGCCCCTTCTTGTTGAGTCAGATCATGAGAATGTTAAAAAATACTTGAAGGACTGCATACTGAGCTAACACATTAATCTGAATTTTAGAGACAGGGTCAACTATTGTACAGATGCTCTTAATGAGTAACTATAGTACTGTACTTGGTTAAGTAATTCTTTAAACAGTTTTTCTTGATATTTGTGTGCCTTACAGTGAGGCATATGCACTTTGGATTATTGTAACATGTCACTGAGGTTAAGGAGTGTCCTTTATTATTTGCTTTGTAAAAATTTTTAAGTTATTTATTATTTTAATTATATTTATTTGTTGTGTATTTATTTTTGCATTATTTTTTATATCTTACTCTAAATGACATGAGCTACAGGTAAGGAACCTTAATTGTAAAGATTTGGGTACAATTGTCCTATACAGCTGATCACCTCTGTTGCTTCAAATTGAATTTAGTTGAACTCTTGTCTGTAAAGCAAATAAATTCTGTTACTACAGTCATAGAGAACAGTTGTCAGTTTCTTGTAATGTAGTTAAAGGTATCCTTTTCTATCTGAATGGGTCAAGTTCCTTGAAAGCCCTTTGGTTATTGAATATTTGGATAGCGAATTATAAAATGAGTGGGAAAATGGGGTTCAGTTCCCTAATAACAAAAAACCTCTAATATTATACCTAAAGGTTATAAAATAAATAAATTATATACAGTACTGTATATACAGTTGGTACATCACCTTATATGTGGGCAGTCAGAGCTCAACCGCAGGGGATGGAGAGGTGTGCTGAGTAAGAGCCTTACTCAGTTAGATGAGGGATGTCCACATCCTCACTGCTGTCACTGCCTCCTGCAGGCACCACAGGTAGAAGAAGTGGTAAACTAGTGGAAGAAATTCCATTGGCGGAGGGAGTAGGACTGGAAGTTGAAGATGCCGGAGTTGCCCGTGCTCTGAAGACCGTGACGGATTTGAAGGAGGAAGAGTTGGCGGGTTGTGCTACCTTGTTTCTCATCCACTGAGATATTTTTTTCTCCACACCAGTCTATGTGAGGGTCATTTGCTTGGAATAATTCAAACACCTTTTCATTGTGGGCGAGGCTCTCACCAAGAAGCTTGACATTGAGCTACCTCTCAGGCTCCTCCACTTGTTGTTCCTTGTTGTCACCTACCCTATCCTGCTGGAGCTGCATGAGTTGTTTGTTGGTAAGGTTCTGGCTGTGTGACTGCAACAGGTCCTCGACATCCCCCCGTCCACCTCCTCAAATCCAGCCTCCTAATCTAGGTTGACGATGTCCAACTGCACTTTTCTTTCCCACATCAGTGAATCCTGTGAAGTACATGCACTTGGGCCAATCTTCCACCACTCACCATTCATAATTTGCTGTGGCACTTCCTTCCAAGACTTGTTGATGTTAAAATTTCTCCAGAACTCCTTGATAGTGCTTCTGTTGTCTTCAGTCTGCTGTACAAGTTCCCTCATCATCTGCCTGAGATAGTAGGCCTTGAAGGTAGAGATGAAGTCTTGAAGCATGCAGTGATGAATCCAGAGTGGGTTTGAGGTTTTTGGTCGAACCCCCCTTTTCACACTCAGTTGGCATCACGTTAAACTAAGTCTCATCTGGTCAATTATCAATTAATGTAATTAGGGGTATATGCATTCCATGTACAGTAACACCCTTTGAAAGCATAGGATGTGTTCTTGGGGAGAGAACTTTCAGCAAATCAGCTTACAATGGGGGTCATTATACAGTAACATGCTGTATAGTATTTGATATGGAGATACTTTCCTACCAGTGTTATTTATTACGTTTGAGTGATAAACGATGTCTTGATTTTGCTACTTTTACTCTTAGACAACTGATAAGTGAATAAACCAAAGCATATGGAGCAGGGCTGGATTTTTTTTTTTTTTAACCCACCCACAAAGATGAGTAGGGTGGACAAAGGGGGGCACCATGTGATGTCTGGTCTCCTATCCACAGTTGGAGAAGATGTTCCGTATTTTCTATCACACAGTCATGTGATCACAAAAGCCTGCTAGTTACTATCTGTGTGACATTCTTGTCTGCATGTTTGAATATTGTGGTGATGGTAGAAGCACTCGTGTCTACTGTAGGTCTCTCCTAATCTGGTGCTCAATTTGAACTTTTCATAGGACCAACATTTGTATAAGTGAATATTGCCTTTGGATAGTGAAAAAGGGGTTTAAGAATCGAATATTCGGATCAGCAAATTTTTTGATAAAGATATTTCAGATAGTGAGGGATACTTGTAGTGATTTTGCACTCTCATCATATTACTGTACAGTAGAGCCATATTTGTTCCACATCTTTTTATCTACCACTCAGTGAAGTTATCTGGCTTTAGATAGGTGAGTCTTTTAGGGCTGATTTGAGGCTAAAGAAGAAAATTTGAGCTAAGAAATTACACTTTTAGCCGAGTTAAGAAAAGGAAACTTGGTATCATTCATCTTACAGTATACAGTATACTTAGACTTGCTACAGAAAAATTCAAAATGGCCAATAATGAATAAAGGATGGCTATGTTGCAGAAGCTGCCGTAGCACCAAGACTTATTTAAACCACTATAGACCCCTCTATGAGAGGCAGGATTGTGCCTGGAGAGTTATATTGTTTGATTAGTGCAGCCATTGCTGTCGGAGATTAGTCTGGATTGCAACCCATTTTAGATTTTCTATGTATTATTTAAGCATTTTCGACTTATGACCTGGATTTGGGTCCCTAACCCCCATCGTAAGTCGGGGAGGAGCTGTATATGTTTAGCTGTGGTGGATTGTTTTCAGTGAGAATGTAGGGACTGAGCTACTCGGGGGAGGAGCTGGGGTTGGTGGGGGGAGAGCCTGTAACCAACACTGATGAACATGTATTTTCTATGATGACAAAGGCAACTAAGAGCCCTATTGAGGTGTGGATAATAGGAGGAGGTCAAATGGGACACATGATGTAATTTATGAATGCTAAAATTGGTACATTATTTAAAAAATGGCTGTTCTCACATGAGGAATGTTGCAGCTGTACTATTGGCCTAACATGATGGACATCACAGCTGTGCTAGTGGTCTCACATGGTGGACATTACAGTCGTACTTGTGGTCTCACATGGTGGACATCACAGTCGTACTTGTGGTCTCACATGATGGACATCACAGTCGTACTAGTGGTCTCACATGATGGACATCACAGTCGTACTAGTGGTCTCACATGATGGATATCACAGCTGTCCTTGTGGTTTCACATGATGGACATCACAGCTGTACTAGTGGTCTCACATGGTGGACATCACAGCTGTCCTTGTGGTCTAGCATGATTGACATCACAGCTGTCCTTGTGTTCTAACATGGTGGACATCATAGCTGTACTAGTGGTCTCACATGATGGACATCACAGTTGTACTAATGGTCTAACATGATGGACATCACAGTTTAAGGGTTAAGTGTAGCATGTACTGTAATGTCTTCTTGGACTACAGTGCTTGATGTTTGGATGTTTCTATATCATACAATCCTGTAATATTCACTTCCTCTTCTTGACCCTCCGAGAAATATATATTCATCAGACACAAAGTTTTGTGTTCTGATAATATAAACTTTTATTTCCTTCAATTTTTACAAGTAAATATGAGATATCAGTATCTGTATCCCTGTTTTCTAGAAATATATTTAAGTAGTTCTATGTTTTTCCTATTCCTAGAGGTTTTCTCTTCCCCTCCTCGGACAATGTTTAATATTACTGAGAATTAATTGTTGCACTTTAATACCCCCTTTATATAAATATGATTTTTTCTTATATTTTCATGCCTTTTGGAAATCTCTGTATATAAACCTGGGTAAGTTGGGTCAGGGAATACAGTAACAGTGTTCACATAAGATGCTTGGTGCAACTTATCTTCCTCTTCAGTGTTCTGGAGTTTATATAGTTTTGAATTGTAAGTAGATGTATAAAGCTTCATCTGTACTTTTTGATCCTGAGTTACATTTTGAAGCTGAGACCCTGATAGTTGTTGCAAGAACATGAACATTGAGTTGCTGTAACTGTGAAGGACTGAAATGAGTATGAAAAGAAGAATAAAAATCTGAATTAAGTGATATATGAATCACAAACACTCCTTTATAATTTTACACTTCTTTTGCAAATTGAATTATGCTATTGGTTATTTTACCCCCTGTTGCTTGACAGGGAGCATACAGTGCCTTGCTCTGTCATCATCCTTGTAGACCTTAATTCTCTCTCATGTTATGGGAAAATATGTATTTACAACACAGGCAAAATCTTGTCTCATGAAGGAAAATTCAGCTGTTGTTTTAATTAGATCTTTTATGTTGAAGATCTAAATTAATTTTATTTGTTGAGGAATTATTTAGAGGATAGAGAAAAGGGAGAGGGTTTCCACAACACCCTCAGAAAGATATGTGGTTATTGTTACTACTTCACTTGATTCTGTGGCCCTTCAGGTAATTTCATCCTACTATTTATGGTGGTCAGTTGCTGATGTTTTAAACATTTACATTACTGGTACCTTGAAGAGATGATGAAAATGTAATTGTAAACATTTGCACTATGTTCAGGAGTCTTCCTTAATATTAGCTCTGTTTTGTGGCTTTGATAGTACGGTAGATTCTTGAATATATACAGTGATTGGGAAAACCTATAGATGACAAATTTTGGTGAGTACTTAAGGCTTTTAGGACCAACTAGAAATGCAAGAAACCTGATTACAACAGGCAAGATATTAAATACCGTTGCAAATTACTATACAGGTACCTGTAATTTGAAGTGTTTCTTCATAACCACACAAAAATGATTATCAATCACTCTTGGAAAATTTCTTGCTTCATCCAAAGTGTCATACTTGCTCTCTCTTACATAGGAGGGGCTTTTGTGTTTTTCATTTTATGGAGATTGGCAGCCCAACTGATAGAAAAAAGGTAAAGTAGGTTCATTTGTGGTGATCCCTCTTCTTGTTCTCTTTGAAGTACCATGCTGAAGTCTCCTTACCACCAGCTACCATTTGTATTGGTAGGCAATGTCAGTATAGAGCAAACCATACCACTTAACCCTGGTAAGAAATTATGTGATTGATCTAAGCTCAGACAAAAGACCATTAGCCTCAGCACAGGTTATACTGTTGAGAGCAGGGGCTTTCAACAGTTAATGAATTGCTTTACAAGTACCAGAAGCCTCGAAACAAATCATTTTAACACTAGCAATGTGACTCTCCCAACGAGTTTCAGTTGGCATTTTCACTGCATGTGTTTCAAACAATGTTAAGATTTCCCTCACCTTGTTGAGAATGAAAAGAGGCAATAAATTTTGTGCAAATTTCCAAAATACAGTACAGTAGGCTGAAGCAATTTTGCTAGACTCTAAAACAGGAAATTTTGATATACCCCATAAGAACTGGGAGACACCAGACAAAGAATTATGTACAGCTCAAAATCATTGAGTTGTCCGGTCATTTTTTACTTATGGATGTGACATAATATTGGAAAGCTTTGGGAGGGAAATCTGAATTTTTGGGCAGTTTATCTCGAAATTTCATCCCACTCTAATATTGGTCCTGGGAATATTCTTGATGTTGATGAGTTAGTGACATAATTATCAGTGAATAAGTAACATGCTCACCCTGCTTATTGCAGATGTGACAACCGTCAGACCTTGAGAACTAGTAAATACCATTTGTACAAGGTGATATGTTTTCTCATAACATGCACCAGAGAAAATGTTACTATGAACCATTATTTCATGCATTATTGCACACAATGCAGTAATTCAAAATACTCCCCTGTAATTAAGAATAAGGAGAAACAAAAGCAAAAACTAGCCTTCACAGATCCAGTTTGAGAGAGAAACACAAACTCATATACATTTGCATCTAATATTCATAATATCTCTTCATATTATTATATAAATTCATATATTTGGGGCCCCTAAATACTGGTGCCCCAGGCAATTGCCTGGTTTGCCCCCACTTAAAGCCACTACTGGTGTCAACATGGCCAAAAGCCGAGGATAATTTTCATTTACAGTTAATAATAATGTGGATAATAGAGTTTATTGCTTATCAAAATTTACTGTGAAGTCTTTCAATTATATTTCCCACCAATGGCTCACTTAACATAATTTATTTTCTACATTTGATGAATCATTAATGTTTTGTTTATTAATTTACGTTCTGTCATTTAAAAATGTTGCCCTCATTTGTATATGTTTCTTTGATTGTATTCATTTGCTTTCACACTGCATGAATTACATATTTTTTTATATATACGTATAATTCTGTGTAATAAAAAATAATATTGTACAGGTATGTATAGGCATGTTTACTTGTGATTTATGATGAGCTAGGCTGTCCTTTGTCGATCAAAAGTGCAGTAAATATAGACCGTACTGTATATATATAGGAATTAATATTTACTGCTGATACATTTACTAAAACTTAGGATTTTGCTCTTTTGATTGAAAAATCCTTATTCAGAAAGTGAGTTAATGTTATAATTCATAGACTAGAACAGATGTACAGTAAGTGAATCAGAAATCATTAACATAATAGTTAAATATTTGTTTCCATGGCAATATTATAATTATGTATATCTCCTTTAAATTAAATTACCCGGTATGTAAATACAGTACTCTATTCTTACAGTTTTACGCAATTTAGTCTTATCTGCTCACTGCGTATCATGCTTCTGAGCTGTACTAATGTGTTTAGCACAGATTTCTGAATTATATTTTTCAACCATTACCCTTTGTATTCCATGCATGAAATTATAACATTGTTGTATTGCAAATAGCACTTCCGGCCAGAACATTTCCAGAGTTAGTTCCTAGAGAAGTATGGTAAATGTGTCCTCACTTGAAATCACCATGTTGCAGGCACAGGTAAGATTGCTTGCCAGAGGTTGGGTTGATGAATAACATGACTCCAGAAGAGCAGACTACACACGTTGATCTCCATTCAAGGAAGTCTTGGCGTACTTTGTTATTATAACCCATTGTCTACCCAATTATTTGTCAAATGGGCCCAGTATAACCTAACCATTAGGATTAGGCTCCAGTCCCAGTGATTTTGAGACTTAATGGGTCCTAACTCTAATGATTAAGTTGTGGCCAATTGGGACAAGGGCCAATTTGACCTTCAGCTGTGTGTTACCCTACTAGGCCTGATATGTTGTAGCATTCTCAGTGTTTTAATGGGGGTGATTTAAGGGAGGAATGATGGAATAATTAAAAGCAAAACAAATATTGGCACAGCCGCAAGAAATTAATTAATTTTATATTGTACAGTACTGTACAGTATTTACATATCAGGCCCAACATATCTTATTGATCAGTATAAATCTTTGTGATTGTATCCAACTTTTATTTTCATGGTGTTTGGGATTATTTTTTATTCCTAGGTATAGAATACTGAACCTTTTTAAATATCTTAACTTTCTTTAAGATTAAGAAAGGGGATGGGTACATGTTAGCAAGTAGATGAGTTGTGACACAGTTGCATGTCAGAATTCTGTTTGATTTTTTGTCAAAAAGTTTATACAGTATAACCTAGTCCATGTCTAGAGTGTTGTAGATTTTTTTTTTAGATTGTGCAGCACTGATTGAGATACAGTACTGTATGTAGTTGTGTGTAATAGGTACACAATTTTTTTTTTTTACAGTTGCATTTAGTAGTGCTGTAACAGTCATATTTCATTGTTCTTTCAGCGGTAAAGTTTATTACTAACTGTTCCTAAAGAGGGAGATGCAGTGAGTAATAATGGAGAAAATGTTAGAGAAAGTTGAGCAAATGATAGTGAGTGAAGTATGAAATTTGACAAAAATAAGATGGATGAAATGTTGTGATTTCTAATACTGTACAGTACTGTACTTTAAATGTTCAGGACTGTAAAAAGATGGTAACTACAGAAAAGAATTGGGTGTAAACGATAAATGATACTAAACCAACTTCTAAGAGAGTTAAAAATTAATGAATATATAAACTGTACTGTACATTGTATGGTAAATCCTGCTGAATGTGAGCTTTCACTTCATAATTTGCTGATGTGTAACTCATTGAAGTGTAATACAATATATGCATAACTTACAAATATTACACCATCTCAGTGCAACACCATGGAACATGCTAGAAAAAATCTTGGCCTGTCCACTGTTTGTTTACTCTTTTCTAAAAGGTCAGTACATTTGGAGATACTGTACTATACTGTACCACTTACGTAAACTGTTTCATACAGCTTCAGCACACAGTGGAGTTGCTCTGTACAGTATCAAGATGGAATGTAGATTTTCTTGAACAGCTATAAACTGTGACCTCCAGGAATGCCTTGGGTGTAGGCATCTTTGTGATGAATCCTTTATAACATTTTGAAGGTCTTTATCATAGCCTCACATGGGATCTTCATCTTCCTTCATTATTTAAAAATAATTAAGTTCCATGAATGTAATTATTTTGGAGGATTATATGAATTTTAGGTTACTGGCAATATTTTAGGATGTGTGAACTTAACATCACTTCTACCACAAGCCAATCAATTAACAGCCTGGAGGCTGTCAGCATACCACCTACTGCTGGGCCACCACTGACAGTGAGGGTCTGGGCTCGCTCATTTACCCATAGAAATTTTTAACACTTTTGGCCATAGAATGTGTTCCAATTGAGGTAGGACTACCATTTTTTTTTTTCCCAATAAGTCTTGAAACATTTATCAAAATATTGTTTATAATAAATATACAGTAGTTGAAAACTCGATATTTCTTTATGGATGCAGTACAGTACCTGTATGTGAAAGTTCATATCTAATTTTTACATCATTAATATAAAGTAAATAGAATTTTGTCTATAAAGAAACTCAGGAATAAATAGAAGTACACTGTATGCAAAAATAACTAAACACAAATACAGTTCAGAAAAAATTATGAAAGAAAACAAAATAATATACAAGATAAGATTGAAACCCACAGAAAAATACAAAGATAATGACAGTGCTATGCATTATTGGGAAATAATTTTTGTATGCTCACTATTGTACATCAATGCTGAGCATCTCATAACAGTTGTGTAACTCAGCGTGTAAGAAGTAACCCAAGTGGAAGAGTAATCCTTTACCTAAAATGAGTAAGGAGGAGTCCAAAAGTCCAAAGTGTTAAGTGTGTACAATGAGTTGGATGCGTAGAGTTCAATCCTACAGATTTGGCAGGATTTATTGCATATACAATATACAGTACAGTTTTGTATATATCTTGTGTGTATGTGTTTTAATAAGTAATCACACAATGTTCTTAAAACAAAAGATGAATGAGTGGAAAATTTTTTTAGCCTAAATTACAGCAGCATAATAATCATGAAGGCATGGAGAAAAGCCTATATGAACTGTGACAAGCATAAATTTTTGTTTGAGTACTTAGTGGGTGAAAGAACAAGTGACTTGAGTCAAGTTTAGACTTCTCAGGTTTCTTCAGTACAGCTGTGCACATGTTACAGTAATGTTACAAGTAAGGCCAAGGCTTGTAAGCATGTGTGATTACTGTACACTATGCTGGATCGATTCACTCACAAAAAATTATGAAATAAGCATATTGTTGATTTGCAGGTGACTATTTTTATTTTATTTTATTTTTATGTTTTCCATTTATATGAAAAGGTGATTGATAAAAATGGTATATAATATATGGATCATTTAAAGTTATACCTATAATAGCTATTTTGGGTTTAGTGTCATTTACAGTGAAACTGGATTTGAAATAATTGAAAATAATTTCTTTAGCAGTTGAATATAGATTGTGTACAGTGTTAGGGGTCATTTCAGGTGTTATTAAAAGGATTTTGATCTATACAGTTTAGTTGAATGTTTGCTGATGACAAATGTAGCACTGTAGCATAATTTAAAAAGTGCAAGCATAATACAGTACTGTATACTGTATCAGTTTCATACTATGGATATGATATGATGTACAGTGCAGTACCGTATTAGCTTCTTGAATATGTGATTTGTAAGCAAGACTTTCACTTTTGCGCCAGATTAGTTGTACAGTGAGTGAGTGTGTGTGGGTTACTAGGTGTATGGGGTCTCATAGTACAGTATGTGTATGTGTGACAGGTTACCATAGTGTGATGTATTTGGTAACCTGACTGCATGAAAACCCTTTTATGATATGTGACTTGAATGCAGTACTGTACTTGGTATGTACAGTGAATTGTTATGAAGTGTTCTGAGTCACTGGAGATGCCAAAGGTTCACTTTGTATACTCTACTGTGTTGGCAAGTTGTTGTTTAGCCTTTTTCAGTGACCTTCTATACTTGCTCACACCTCATTCCTTAGTGTTTAGCTTGCTCTAAGATTCCTGGACCCCTTGATCTACCCTACACAGAAGTGGGAGATAGTGAAAATAATGGTCATTTTATCCTCAAATATAAGTTATGCTGGTCAAAAATTGGCCAAATATGGCTTACTGTTCCATTTGTGGCATTTTACTCACATATAGAAGTATTCAAGAAGAAGTAAGACTTGGTACAGGTAGTTGAGAGTGTTTGCCAACCAGTCAACTGTAGTGTACTGTAAATTGTGACATATACCTTATACTGTAAAGTAAAACATTATGAGAACTTCATGTCCAACTATTTTTTATGAAAATTAGCAAATTAGGTACAATATTTTGTTTGTTAAAGTTAGACCTGTAAATTATAAATATTCCTTGGAATACTCTGCAGTTGTTAGTTTAATACATAATGTAAACAAAATGGGCATAGAAGCAATTTTTGAGTGTTAGTGACATGTTGGAGAGGGAGAGTTTTGTAGTGTTCATGTAGACATTTGTACTGTATTGTCGGTTCTGTTCATTAAAAATTTATACGAGAACTTGGTAATATATTTTCTTGTGATGTTTCAGATACATCAAGTACAGATGTTGACACTGACGTTCTGGTGAATATCACTTCAGGCAAAGTTCGGTTATTGTTTGAAATGCCATTCAGTCAAAGGACAAATACCTTTGTCTCAGAAGTTTTAAGAGCTGCTGAAGGTAAGATTGATTTTTTTTTTGTTCGCTATATTTTTCTTTATATACTGTATTTCAACTAGTAGAATCTTAGCAATATAATCTTGCGACAGTATTACTGCACTGGACTTTAGTGGACTGCAGTGATATCTCCGTTAGCCGGAACAATTGGTGCAGAGCACTTCCAGGAATGAGAGATTTCCGAGTAACGAGACGACTCTCTCAAAGCCGGAAAAAATCTCTCGTCCCCGGAATTTTTCAGGTAACGGAAAAATGTTCTCAGAAGTTCCAGAAATTGCCCATTACATCATCACTCGAATCTGGAAAAATATCCCTCATCCTCGGAATATTCCAGAATTTTCCGGGTAATGGAAAAATTTTTCTCTGAATTTTCAGAAAATGCGCCTGGTTTTCATCTCTCAAACCCGGAAAAAACTCCCCCATCCCCGAAATTTTCCTGAATTTCCAGGTATCGGGAAAGTTGTCTCAGAATTTTCCGGAAAATGTGCCCCTCGGAAAATTGTTCCCAAAGCCAAAATTTTCCGGAAAATTACGGCTTTGGGAACGATTTTCCGAGAAATTTTCAATTGCTGCTATCGTAGAGGTCCGGGTTTCAGGGATTTCGGCTGATGGAGACATTAATGTACCTGTATTTACATTTTTTGCTGTTTTATACTGTACTAAATTTAAAGGAATTTTGATATATCCATCAAATGTAACTATAATTTTTTTTTTTTTATGTGAAACTCGGTACAGTACAATATTATGTTTGCATACAAGCTGGAAATCTATATTTCAGTTATTAGCAAGCGTCGTGGTCCTCCTCCTGAGTTCACGTGGCTGTTGCCTTATCATCAGAATTCACCCAATGATACCAGCAGTGCGAGAGACTCAGGAAGTACGGGGCCGACTACACCAGCCAGTGGTCCTCTGGACAGTTTGGCTCCTGATGCAATCAGCCCGGATGATGTTAGTGTGGATGTAGCCCAGGTCCCACCTTCACCCTACCTTGATCCTGCTATCAGTAATACAGACAGCAATAGTTTGCATGTACGTTGTTAGGCATGCTTTCATATTATGCTAAATTAAATTTATTTGGAAGGAAGAATGAAAGTTGGTAAGAATTTTATGAATACTGTATATATTTAATGTTCGTGCTGTGCTCGGATGAAATGGCTGAGGTAATATTCGGGAAAATGTGATGTACTTATATTTTCCCAGATAACAAAAAGAATTGTTGCTTAATTTGGATTCAGTATAATTTGAGTAAAAAATACAAATTTTCTTAATTATGTAATTTTTAAAGCATAATGTTTTTACTTTGCTAAGCTCTACTTTTTTAGTTAGTGTTTCATATGTGAATGTGGTTAAGGTACAGCTAGAAGGCTCCAAAATTTTATCCAAAGGACAGTACAGTATACTGTACCATCCACTTGAACAAAATGAGTAAAGTGTCATCCAACTAGAGAGAAAGAAAGAGTGTGTGTGTGTGTGTGCGTGCATTGCGTGCATTGAAACATGTTGATGTAGCCAGGGAAGAAATTTTAATTTAAAACAGGGAAGACTTTCCAATCTTTGGGAAACTCTGGTTCATAAGATTCAGTTTTGAGAGTCTGTAACTACAAAAAAAAATTCTTGCAACTGCTTCCCATTTGTAGAAGTAACTATCAAAAACTTTTATACAGTTAGGAGGGAAAATGTTGACATAGACACACTTCTGATTTAATTCATACTATTGCATAGTGCGCTTGTTAATTGTAAAAACCCAGTTCTGTACCGACACTGTATATGCATCACAACAATATTTATGTTACAGTACAGTACTGTATATGGAATGGGAGTATTAGACTGTAGAGTTGTTGATGAAGTAAATAATGCCATTGATGTCTATATTTATTTATTTGTTATAAATTTTAAGTGAGAATGTAATAGAGTACATTACACAAATTAATCATTTAATTAATTTTACCAAGTTGCTTTTCAGCATGACAGTGAAAGAAGCCCAGATTTGGGAGTTAATCGGCATAACATTGCCACAGGAATTTCTCCAACGCCTATTGCTGCCAGGGAGAGTCATATTAGACATCAGATGGCTCTTCGGGAGGATTCCTATACAGATATTCATAATTTTACGTATGTATGAGGACTCCTCTGTTCTTTCTCTTAATCATATTGAAGTACTGTAGAAAATATAGACATAAGTGCCTGATATCCACCATACTTTTACAGAATACAGTATAGTGATATATCTCAGTATGCTGTGTGTCATTGGCATAGATTTCTTGTGCAGTAATTGAAAGGTGGAAATGACTTCCAAGACTTGTAGAAATGTGCCTCTCAACAAAATTATAACAATATATATATCTTTAACATCATTCTTGACAGCCTAATGCACCTTATAAGTGAATTTTCATAAATCGATGATTAGGTAATTGAAGTACTTGGGGTTTTTACTGTACAGTAATTGGAAACATCCTCGATCAGTGGACACAATCATTCAGATTAGCACTGTTCACTGACAACAAAGAGTGCAAGTTTAAAACTTATCGCTGGTGTACACTCACTCCAAAAAGTATCTTTACGAGGGTTCCTGTTGTCTCGGTAGGGTTGTCAAAATCCTTCGTCCGTTGTTTCATACTTACACAAAAGGGTTGGAATTTGGACATATAGAAGTACTTGTAGTACATACAAGATAATAGAACAAAAATCACGAAAATTTTGATATAAAACTAGGGAAGTGTAGAGGAAAAATAACACATTCTTTACATATTTTTTATGTTTCTTGTACTTCCCAAGAGCCACTGTGGAATAGAAACTGCATGCGTCTTGGATCTTGTCCAAATTTATCATTTCTTTTTTGGATGAGTTCTTGTTTATTCTCACAAATCTTTGTTTGATGAACACTCATCATGCACTGTCCAGACAAATGATCTCCTGCCATCGTTGATCTTAACCAGGTTTTTGCCCTTCTCATTGTGCTGAATGATCACAACTGATCTAAACTCTGTACCAAAACATTAGTGCACTGTATAAAATTAGAGCTGTGATGCATCAAAAAGATAAATACTAAATTTTTTCTCACCTCATAACCTCATGTATTATAATGAAGTAAATGACTGGATCCAAAGCAGAAGTTGTCAGTATCATGATGACATCTTGAACAAAACTGAAGTGGTTGGGCAAATGGTCTGCTTTATATGACCCGATCTAAACTCACCGGTGTTGTTAAACTACTGAGCCAAGGGTCAGGAGAACTTAGACCTCACATACTGCACCTGCTTGTTTGACCTCAGAAAAATAACTGCATTAATCCCCTGACCCTACTAGATACTCTTTACCTTTGCCTTAAGGCCAAAAGCTTGACCCATGGTAGGGCAACTGCCCCTCCCCCCCCTCTGCCCTCAGCAGATGCCCATGTTTCCTGTCACTTTACACAACCAAACATCACCTATCGGCATCTTGTTAAATTGTATACATAATCACCACAGAAATAGAACTTTTAGTGTAGATCACTCTTGTTTATCTTCATGGAAAAAAAAAATTCAAGTTGTGAAATTCTTATGCATTATTTATTTTTCAGGGTGTTTGCAGGCACATGGAATGTGAATGGTCGATCACCAACAGTTGGGCTGGCTGAATGGTTGTCTGTTGATGAAGACCCTCCAGATGTATATGGTATAGGCTTCCAGGAACTTGACCTTAATACTGAAACATTTCTCTTCAATAACACTCCCAAAGAACAAGAATGGCTGTAAGTATATAAAGGCATAATTTATCCTGTGACATGATGGTACAAGTAGCCAAATCGAGCCATCATGTATCACTCAAAGGTAATACTGTACTGCTTTTGGTAACAAATGTGTCTTCTTTCCACAGAATATGCTGTATTGTACATCTTTAATTGAATAGCTAATACCTTGGTTCAATTATTTCAGGAATGCAGTGCTGAATGGTATCCACCCAAAAGCAAAGTATCAGAAAGTTCGTTTGGTACGCCTTGTGGGCATGATGCTCATTGTCTTAGTGCAAGAAAAGCACTTGGCTTATGTACGCAATGTTGCTACTGACACAGTGGGCACAGGCATTATGAACAAGATGGTAAGCTGGGCTTGTCTTTTCATTTTCACACACAATTTTACTTCCCACATTGCCTCGCTTTTCACACACTCATGCCTCACAGAGTCTTTTCAAGATATGAACAAGGTACAAGGTATTTTTTTTTCCTTCCCAAACTTTTTCAATTTATTTTTAACTTATTCATTGTATTGTTGCATATGCATCTTACATATTTTACCTTTTATTAAACTATCACAGGGAATTAGACGTAATATCTTTTTTGTTTTTAATTATTTCATCCCTGGGAAAGAAAGACACAATATAGAATATATGTTGTTGTTTTTTCTTTCATTACATGGAAAGAAAGGGACAATATATTTGTTTTTATTTAGCACGGGAAAACAACAGTGCTGGAACAGTTTATTGTACTTGTGGTATTACTTAAGGAAAAAAACAAATACAGTGATCCCTCGGTTAACGAGATTTCGGTTTACGATTTACCGTCCATAAGATTCTTAACTTCGGTTAACGAGCAATCCCTCGATTAACGAGTTTTTTACGAGCCGACTTCAACATGTTTTCGCTTGCATTTGGCGGTCCACCAGCTGTAGTATTAGTCCGCCAAGACAGTAATCGGTTTTAAGGCTTAAATTCCTTACTATTTTAGTAAATATCAAGAAGTTTATACTATTCAATAATTTTAAATGTTTAATATTAACTTTTTTATTCATTTTAACAATTATTGAACATAATTGAAGGTAAAGAAACTAGTTTCTGGCGTGCCATCCAGCCTGTTAACACACCAGACAGGCGTTAGTCTCTCTCTGTTTTCAGTGGAGGTAACATCTTGCTTGAGACTCTCTTCAACTGAATGCTTTTTTCTGTGTTTCCAAGCAAATTATTGGTCATTTTGAAATTTATTTTACATATCGACAATATATAATGCAGTGCAGTGTTGATTTAAAGAAAATAATCTTGAATTACACCAAGAGAACTAAAATTTTATGGGTGAAATGGTGCCATGGGGTGACTTCTCTTCCACCCCAATGCCTTCTCTTCTTCCTTCTCCTTCACCCCCATTCTAATTCCCATCATCATCATCATCATCCAGGAGCCTTCTCCATACACACCTCAAAGTAAGTGTACTTTTCTACCCTTTTTGTTGAATTTAGACAATTTTCGGTGAGCTGGAACCAATGACCCAAAAACCCAATGAAACAATGGTTTCGGTTAACTAGTTTTTCGGTTAACGAGCAACCTGCTGGAACGGATTGTGCTCGTTAACCGAGGGACCACTGTATGCTGAGGGAGAAAAAATTCCTTATTTGTTGGCTGTCTTCAATCATTCCCATTGTTGTCTATCTGTTACTGTAATTGTTCTCTATTCATTACAGGGGAACAAAGGAGCTGTGTCTGTGAGGCTAGATTTACATAGCACTTCCATTTGCTTTGTCAATGCTCACTTGGCAGCGCATCAAGAGGAGTTGGAGCGGAGGAACGAAGACCACGATTGTATATTTCAACGAACATGTTTCCACTTAAATATAAACAGCCCACCAAAGACCATAAAAGACCATGAGTGAGTATCATGGAGTTATAATAATGTTCTTTATATACTGTACAGTATAACTATAGTTTACCTTGTACATTGGATTTTGCCTCACTGCAGAAAAGAAGAGACAGTAATTATTGTAAAAAGAAATAACTATAAAATCCCACAAATTCAGACTGAGACCTAGACATACCCTACGGGACCATGGCCGAGAACGGTATTCTGAGACTGACACCATTAGAATTCGAGACCGAGACCATTCACAATTTTAGCATTTATGGATCACCTGAAAATTAATTCCCCCCACCTCCCCAGGTAGGGTCAGGGGTTTGCTGGGGGTAGTCTTCAGGTTACTGCTGAGCTGAGTTATATAAAGTCCGTTATTTATCTCTTGCATTAAAGCGTACTGTACAATATTTTACCCAAGTTAAAATAAGGTTCTACAGTATTCCAAAAGATGAAAGTCTTGGATATGGGAGTGTGTAAGTGAATAATAATATTTAAAGGAATATGTAACCAAGTTAATCTTCAGTTGATGCTGTAAGTGCTTACAGTATATACAGTACTGTAATGTATTTTTCCATTTCTGTATTTATTTATATTTCTTTTTTTTTTCTTTTCTTTTTTTTTTCTCTCTCTTTACTCAGGCCCTGTTGTATGTGACCTGTTCTGGGATGGGTTAATCCCCATATAAAAAGATGGACACAAACAGAAAAATAAAACAACAAATGATTAGGGGTCTATATAATGTGCCCAGAAATGAGCCACAAGAACAGTACTATAAGATGGGGGAATTGGGCCACCAACAGATGGTAACTGGACCTCTCTTGGAATCTTTCATTTTAAAGTCCTGAAAATAATTAGTGTCTTTTTTCCAAAGGCTATTTTTGATATCAATAAACTCGAATCTAAAAAAAAAATAATCCAAACATTTCCAGGAGGGAGCCAGTTACCTCACCTTATGTACTGTAATACCATTAAGTGTTTTACATGTTAGTACTGTTGCATATTCATTGTCTTATTAAGATGGATGTGAACCTTTGTCAAGTTAGTTAGTATCAAATGAAAATTATAAAGTTCTTTGATTTTGTCATTACACTACCTGAAAACACCAAGCTGTTATTTTGGAAATTAATGATAGTCCAGTTGACAATGCATAGAATGTTTGGGAGTCATGGCTCACTTATGGTATTCCATAGGTACCAGATAAAGGAAGGGTTGGACCCTGTAAGAATGCATCACCAAATCACTTCATAGGAGAAACTTTATTTCACACACCACTGTTTAGAACAGGGGTGGGCAATTATTTTTGATGGAGGGCCACTTCATGAATGGTGGCACACTTCGCGGGCCACAGGTTAACAGCGACGAGCCAGTATTGCTGCTATGTCCATCCAACTTCCAAAATTGTCCTTTCTGTAATTAATAAGAATTTTTTTTTTCTGATTGCCAAATGCAGTGGCGGGCCACAGAAATAATTTGGCGGGCCAAATGTGGCCCGTGGGCCGCACTTTGCCCACCCCTGGTTAAGAATATTGTGTTACTAACTCTTCTTCCTCTATTTTCAGGCATATATACTTCATTGGAGACATGAACTACAGAATAAATATGTGTGATGTCAACATCAGAGAGGTTGCCAAGAGTGGACAGTTCAAGATTCTCGTTGAAAATGAGCAACTAACACAACAGCGAAACTTGAAGCGCATATTTCACAAATTTAAAGAAGGCGATATTAATTTTAAACCCACGTTCAAGTATGACGTTGACAGTGATGAATGGGATTCTAGGTTTGTATAACTATCTTTGGTGAGTTTTTGTACCTGTAATGCCAATGGTAAAGTGTATACATATATAAGTAGTATATAAAAACTGAAGAAATTCTGTAATACAGTTGACCCTTGCTATGGCCACTAATACTATTCATGGATATTGACAATTGCGGGGTCCATGGAACCTAATCCCCCAGTCATAACATTAAAATCCGTCTACAGGAGAAGATAAAACACAGAAAAACGAGAATACTGTACAGTATTTCTACTATATAACCTACAATCCTTTTCAGCATGATCACATTTTTATAACTGAAGAGGACCATAGGTTATAATTGAAACATACATGGCCATACGCTTAAACTGAGGTAAGGCATTCTTTATGCCTGTCCAAGAATATCTGATGGTCTTGCTGCATGAACAGGAAGGGTTCTGATTTTAGTTGGGTGATGGTGACTGCAGCATAGTATATTGGAATTGCCAGCAATTCGTGGGGAACACAGGACCACCCCTACACATACCCATTCGGCAGTTGCTTCTCAAGTTATATATATATATATATATATATATATATATATATATATATATATATATATATATATATATATATATATATATATATATATATATATATATATATATATATATATATATATATATATATATATATATATATATATATATATATATATATATATATATATATATATATTATTATTATTATATTTATATATATATATATATATATATATATATATAAATATTTATTATTATTATTTATTATTTTATTATTATATATATATATATATATATATATATATATATATATATATATATATATATATTATTATATATATATATATTATATATTATATATATATATATATATATATATATATATATATATATATATATATATATATATATATATATATATATATATATATATATATATATATATATATATATATATATATATATATATATATACTGTACTGTAGATACTGCATTGTAAAATTTAATGATATAAAGAGAGTGTAGTGCTGTATATTTTAGATTTTTAAGCAAAGTTCCATGATTGGAAATATGGATGTCAATATCCACAAGTAATTTAAAGACTGTTTTATGTCCTCAGTGCTTAAATTTTTGCCCAGAACAACAACACTAGTTTGCAGATGATACACCTCTTTCTTTTCATAAATGTTGTTAATTATTGCTCCAGTACACACTAACCAGTGGTATATAGGATGACCAAATGAGGTGTTACCATTAAGTGAGTTTACAAACGGTCACCGTAATAGAGCATTGCCCCCAAAATTAAGTGTACAGTACTGCTAATATCTTTTAATACATAATGATTTACAAGGTTGATTCATTATATTGAATTTCATAGGTTTTGTTACTTTTTTTTTCTGCACATATACAGTATTTGCAATACACGTATTGTTGAGTAGTGACAAGCTTCATTACCCCAATACTGTAGTAGGAAGACCTTTGAGGAAGAGAATTTTTTTTAGGTAAAATAGATTAAATGTTCTGGCAAGTGTGTGGTGTGCTGGTGTATCGTTAACTTGGTTTTAGACATGGAGAGAGTGATTTTATTGAAAGGATATTAAAAATTTATATGCATATTAATTGCATTACAAGTATTACTAGAGTAGAGGTACCAATTAGTACTAAAAAATTTGCTGTTTTAAGAAAACTATGGCTACAGGAGGAAAATACACGCACAAGTTTTTCCCTAAATATTCCCTGCTGTAGTGGGGAGTGCATCTTCTATCCTTGTGCACCTTATAATCCATAAAATATGATAGTTCTTTTTCCTCCCTTCATTCAAGTCACACACACACACACACACACTTAAACTAAACATACATGCGCAATCAATATTGATTGCTCACTCTTATTTAATAGTGCATAGCTTCCTAGATTCAAAACACAATGAAACCTTCAGAATGTCCCCAAACAATTTGTTTTTTATACTTTTCATAGTTATCATAGGATTTAACCCCTTGGGTACAAGGATTTCTCTGTTGAATAAAATCGTCTGGCATTAGCCAAAATAATGAAAGTGGCATCCTGTAGTGAAGGGATTAATGACCAAACCTGGTAAAGGTTTGTGTTCATGTACTGTCTTTAAGTTAGAGTTTCACGAGGTATACACTTTGTTTCAGTGAGAAAGCAAGGTTACCAGCATGGTGTGACCGAATCCTATGGTACGGGAAGGAACACAGCATGTTTATCGTTCACATCCAGCACTGAAGATTAGTGACCACAAGCCTGTTAGTGCACTCTTCCAGGCAGGGGTAAGTGCTTATGAAATTTGAAGTGTATAACAAGTCAGTCCTTTATCCTACCACAAGCTGTGTATTCAGTTGTAATATCTTTTTCCAACCTCTATAGGATATTCTGTTTATTTTGCATAAATATGTACCGTATTAATTTGGTTGGCTACTTTTTCATGGTTTTCTGATTCAAGCACTGAACTTTTTATTTTGTACCAGATTAAGGTAATTGACACACGGCGATACCGACGCATCTATGAGGAAGTGATGAAAAAGCTTGATAAGCTTGAGAACGAATTCTTGCCTCAGGTAACCATAGATACCACAGAGATTATACTGGAGCCTGTGAGGTTTCTTCAGCCACAAACAAAATACCTCACAATTGCTAATACTGGACAGGTAGGTACTTGCTATATAAACAGGTTTATGGTAGTTTTAGCGTTTTTAAGAGCGATAACTGGTTATTCTTACCAATATGTCATGGGTTCAAGTCCTGCTTTGCCCAGACACATGGGAAGGGTTATCCATCATGAGCCTACTAAATATCAAAGGTTTTCTGGGCACTCTGGTTTCCTCCTGTGCTAACACTGGACAGGCTAGCTGCCCAAACAGCTAAGTTAGTAATGTAAGTGGGAAAATGATGACTAAAAAAGTTAAAATAAATAATTCCATTGTCTGTTCGCTTACAGGAAATTTGAATAAGTGCTCACTAATTTATCAGGGCCTTTTTAAGAAAAGAGACAGAAATTAAAAACTTTCCAACTTACAAACCACACGCTAATGAGGATACAAAAAATTCAAACCTCACAACTCCGTGCCTTTGGTGCTCAGCTGTTGCAAAACTCACCTGTGAGATTTAGATAGGCCTCAGGTGGGCAGACCTATTGAGTTGAATGACTCCAAGTTCCTCAGGCACAGACTTTATAAGTTTGGAATGGCATCCAAGTGCCCTAGATGAAGACCTGTTGAGTTTGGAAGGGCCTCTGACCACCATGGGTATGAACATGTGAGTTCAAAAGAGGCTATGAATATGTTTCTTATGACTGACATTTAATGGTAATACTGTATGTTGGTTGCAGAATTTACATATACAGTAGAACGTCGATATAACACGAGATAGGTTCCAAGAGAGGTCGCTTTAAACCGACAAGTGACTAAATCAAAGTGTTGTTTCAATGGAATAATTTAGTTTGGTACTTGAAACACAAAATACTAAAAGACTGAGAGTCTACCCAGATGCACCTCAGCCCATCTCCTAGAATAAACAAAACATTGTTTTTCAGAGTAGGTAGTCCCCAACTTACGACTCGGGGACCCAAATCCATGTCGTAAGTCTAAAAATGCAAAAATAATACATAGGAAATCTAAAATGGGTGTCTCTTTTCTTCTCAGCACCACAAACTCACTTTTTAAGCTTGCCAGCCATTTTAAAGGGAATTACAAACGAAAATTTTGCCAGTACACGGCGCAATCACTAACGCTCGACTCGAAAATACGTAATTTGAAAAAATTTTTGGTACGACCAGGGTCAGTATGTCCGGGTGGTTGTAAGTCGAGTAGGTCGTAAGTCGAGGAGTACCTGTATTATGTTAAAAGAAACACTCAGAAATCAACACAGCTAAAATTAAGGGATGTAAAATGGTCTATTAACTGGCTGGGAAGATGGGGGTAGGGAGGGAGGTGAGGTGATATGTTTGACAGTTGATGCCAAGGTCTAGTGCAGAGGTGTCAAACTCATGGCCCGCAGGCCAAATGTGGCTTTGGGATGGTCAGGTGTGGCCCGGGGATACGGAAAAATTTATCATCCGTGAAATTATGAAAGAAATAGATATGATCATGTTTATTTAGTAAAATGAATTTGACATACTTAAGATCAGACAAACCCAAATGAGGTATTCCTGGTAAGGCAATGTGTGAAGCTGTAAACTTCAATCCTACAAATATGTGATATAGCTCTTGTGTTGGCCCTGAAGAGGGTAACTAAAATAAGAATTCTCGAAAGGTTTTTAGTTTGACACCACTGGTCTAGTGCTTATTTATTTATCTGTCCTTAAAAGTTTTTAAGTTTTTCTCTTATAAAATGTCACTGAACTGACATGGGAGAATATACAGGGTAATTAACATTGCTGGAATTCTTATAAGATAGTGATTAATTTGAATATAAACATGCTATAGCTCGCATTAGACATACAAATTTTAGTTCTAATTTAAGAATTTTATTAGAGAATAAAAAATTTTTCTCTGCAAAATATATGACGTTTATATTCAAATTATTGTTGCCTTGAAAGGATTCCAGCAATACAACTTATAATCTCCTAACTTTAGTCTGTGACATTATATAAGATAAAAACTTTAAGCCTAAAACACCAAACCCTGGCTGGGAAGTGACAGTGACATGTTTGACAGTTGGCACTGAAGGTCTACTGAAGTATTTATTTGTTTATTTATGTCCTTTAGCTCAAGTTTATGTTTTTTGCTTATAGACTGCCACAGAAGGGATTGGAGAGAATATAATTTACAGTGCTGGAATTCTTATAAGATAGTGATTAATTTGAATATAAACATGCTATAATTTGCACTACACAAAAATTTTAGTATCATTTAGTACATTATTTTCAGTACATGTACAGTACAGCTTTGCCCTTAGGACAGTGTAGCGTGCCCAGAGAAACAGATTGACTCGTGCAAAATAGGAAAGATTCGCTTTAAATTAAAACATTGTCCTTAATTGTGGGTGTCGCTTTAAATCAATAATCTTAAATTGAATCTCTTTAAATCACTCTACTGTACAGTTCATTGTTAATTTTCAAAGGATTCTCAAACCTGGGAGGTTTTGTTCTTGTCATGTAAAGAATTTCATATTTTTATAAGGTGTCCTTTACTTTTTCAGGTGCCAGTACAATTTGAGTTCATTAAAAAGTTAAATGATACCAGTTACTGCAAGCCATGGCTCTCTATCAGACCATATGTAAACTTCATTATGCCAGGTAAGAGTTTGTAGTCAGTAAATGTATATAGTACAGTATAGTACTTTGCAAATCTGTTCACCATAAATAAAAACACTTACATTATTGTACATTTTTGTACCTGTCATAATTATGCTGTGGAATAATAAATTACTCTGTGCCTACATGTTTACTGCTTTGCTCATGAGATAAAAATCCAGTCATGTGTTTTCCATATGTAGTAACCAATACATTTCTTGTTTTTTATACAAATAACTGGCAGATTCTGCTTATTTTACAGGGTTGGCAAAAACCATTATTTTTTTAAACAGAAACCTTTTTTTTTCTCACATAAACCATTAAAAATTTTTGAATGCTATTATGTTGGTTTTAATAAGTTTTAAGAGTTTATAGCCCTTTTTATAACTTTTTAATATGCTATTAGCCATAAACATTACATTCAGGATGATTTAGCAATCGTTTATACTCTTTTCCGTCTCAAAAAAATCACTGTGAAAAGGCCAATTTTGGAAAACACAAGCTTTGATCAGTCATCCAGACTCATCCTACATGCTTAAAGGCACAAACTAAGTTTAAGTTCATCTTAATGCTTGGAAAAAACTATTCTACTTTTACAGTTGAAAGTTTGAAAGAACTCATTTCAGTACAGCACAGTTGGAGAGAGATGGACAGTGGTAACTTGGCTCCCCTGGACCCATGTAATACATGATCTGAACACATTAGAATCAGAGGCTCAGCCCAACCATAAACAGAAGCAGTCACCAGTTAAACTGAACAGTGGTAACTTGGCCCCCTTATAGTCAGAATTTGAGATGTGTCCAGCCCTGTGAGAAAGCTTATTATCACCACTTTCACCAACAATAGTTCACATCCATTTCTATTTTGAACAACCACAGAGACATAATGCATCCCTGTCTAACATCCACATTTATTTCAAATGTTTCACTTTCTTTCCCATTTACTCTTACCGTTGCCCTGTTGTTTTCAAAGAACACTTTTACTGCATTTAATAGCCTTCCCCCCACTCCATACACTTGTAATACCTCCCACAATGCTTTTCTTTTCACCCTATCATATGCCTTTTCCAAATCTACTATAAGTCATTTATACCATCTGTAAGTAATAAAAATTATTATTTTATTAAAACCAAGATAAAAGGAATAGATTAAAAAAAAAAAAAACAATGGTTTTTTGTTTGGTCTAAATTGGCCAACCCTGATTACTTGTTCAAATGATATTTAAAAAAAAAAATTACTTTTCTAATGCTAAAAACTCACTGCCTCTGGTTTTTCAGAGTCACTTTTTGAAATTTATATTGTATTTTTAGGTGATAAATGTGATGTTGCTTTAGAAGTGTTGGTGGATAAGCGGACAGCAGCACAGCTTAACTCGGGAGCAGATAAACTTTATGATATTTTAGTGCTTCACCTGGAAGGTGGTAAAGACCTCTTTATTACTATAACAGGTAAAGTATTGTGTATCAAGTAATTTTTAGGTACATTTCTACTAATACAGGTACAGTATTCCTGTTTTTGAAAGGGATCCATTTCTGAAAACCTTTCATAAGTCAACATATCATAATCAGATCACAGTTTCACATAAACTCCCTTTATAAAAGCTGTGAAATATTCCTATTTACAATGATTTTATATAACTAAAAGTATATTTTGTCACTCTTTAGTAATTGATTAATAAATTTGTTCCTTTTCACAGGTGACTACGAGAGAAGTTGCTTTGGATCATCCATTAATGCTCTTGTTCATATGAATAAGCCTTTCAGAGAAGTTCCTATGGCTAAATTGATTGACTTGGTAAGTAAGCTCTGAATTTATTTCATACATGTGTCACTGTAGAAAACCATGTCTGATAGTAAATAATATCCTTATAGAGTATCGATAACTACAGGTCTGTACTTGCATTTTTGTTACTTGCATAGTTTCAAAGTTTTGTCCAGATGTTTTAGCTCTTTGCACTTAAATGTATGAGTATTTTTAATCTCTCTTACCAGCATGTTTTTTGTATTTTGTTCCTTTAGAGTGTTGGCATAGTCAGTTAATGTTATCGTAGATAAAGGGTTAATTTTGATGAATTGTGAATAATCTAGTTTTTCATCTTGTTAGCTTTTTAATGGTTATGTTTACAATGGGCCACTTATTGGAGAGCTCCTTCCTTTTTGAGAGGAGGAGAGTTATTTCCTATGGGCACCATGAGAGGATAGTAAGTCAGTATCTCTTTGTGTCTTTGGTTATGAACTGGGTTTTTTCTTTAAGATTGGTAGTGTTTAAGCTTAGCTAAGTTGACTGAGGACATGGTGCCCACAATAAGCAGTCTATATTATGAGAAGGCTCTTGATCGTGGGCTGTAACAGAAAAGGGGACTTATGGATCAATCCTACATTTCTAATGTAGGTTTTACATAATTTTATTTTTGTGTAATATTTAATGAGAATCATTGTTATATAGATAAGTGTTAAAATAGAGATTCTTCCTTTTTTGTTCTTCATGTTGTTTTATTTATTTTTCTTTCACTCTGACAGCCTCTCCTTATGCAGGTAAATATTTTTTTATTTTCTTTGCTTTGCGTGATTTTATCCATTGCTCACTAGAGCATTTATTTTGAAAGTAAATGGACAGAAATTCAAATCCTGACTGGTGTAGAGGATTGGGATTCCTCCTAGTATGCACCCTTGAGTACTCAACAATAGATAAGTACTGTATACTGTCAGGTGTGCTTGCTGATTATGGAACAACCCTTTAGTGGACTTGCATTCTGTTCAGGATGTGAACAAATCCACTAGCTGGTAATACTTTGGTCAGCAACTACCCAGCCTCCCTGCATCATAGCTTAAAAGTTCAGACTATTTTATGTAGTTTCTTTTTCACTCATGAGCCTCTTCATGCTGTATTGCAGTGGCTGAAACAACTGTAAATGCAGACTCTCGTTTTATTTGCTGTCTTTCATTCACTCTTACTGCTATAACAGACATGTTCTGCTATGGTGTTCCTTTTTCACAACAAGACCTTATGATACCTTTATCTAATTTATCGCTGTTACTTCACTTAACCTAGTACCACCCATCAGAAGCCTGCCCGTCCCAAAAAACACACTTTATGCCATACTTTCATGTCATCCATGTTCCCCACTTTTTCCTGGATGTCCCATTTACTCACTATAGTGCATCCATCAATCCTATCCTATTATCAGCTTGATCATCCCTGCTCATCTAGCATTCATAATTTCTAACAATATAATTTTCTTTGCTAGTCTATTTAGTTCATATTACAGTAATTTAGCAAACACTAGGCATCCTGTTTCCTGTTTTTTGTAATATATATTCCTAATTGTCTGCATACTGTACTATTCGCACAACATAATGCTTTCATGCATATTAATTCTGTTACTTTTTGCTCATTGATTTTTCTGTACATTCCCAACTTGCTTCCTTTGACAATACAGTGCCTAACAACGTTATTACATATTATATGATAAACAGTTATTTATACAGCTTTGTCGAATTGTTTTGTAATTGCCAGGGTTACTACTGGTCTGGAAAACCTGGAATTGCCAGGTAATTTTACAAATAAACCTGTAATTTTATGTGAATTCAGTTCAACTTCAAAATACAGTACTGTATTGTTATTCTGACAGCAATCTTACCATAAATAAATGATGTACTATATAATAGGTAAATAATTAAACTTTCAGGAACAAATTCCAGTAAACAGTCCACTCCAATAACTTAATTATTTGTGTACCTATCATATTTCATGTTAGTGATCAAATAACCAAATACACAGGTTATACCTACTAATTCTGCAATGATTATTGTTAGAGATGAATTATTCTTTTAATTAAGTGACTTTATTTAAGTGGATTATTCCGCATATCATGAGTCATATAGGTGGATCAGGAGTGTGATTTTTCGATTTTTGCCAGATTTCTTGCTTTTTTGGAACGTCCAGGTCGACCCACGTGAAACGCACAAATCAAGAAAAAAATATTGATTGGGGGTTGGGGGTTAAGGTCTTTGCCGACATTCATCACTAGGCTTGGGGTTGGTCATGAAAGGGTCTTCAATTTCTTGATTAATATCATTTATATCATCTTTAAATTTCCCAATAGGTGTAGTATTGTACAGTATATACACATTGAAAACCTCTAATTTTGTTATTCTGTCGCAATAAATACCAAATTAATGTACCTGGAATTTTTCACATTTACACCAGGAAAAGCCAGGGAATTTTGCTTTGTCTGGCCAGTAGACACCCTGATTACTCTTAATAGAGTTAAATGAGTTGAAAAGGGTCATTCCTTAAATTTAAATATAATTTCTCTAAAATACTGTACAGTATATGTTTTTCTTGGATATTTAGTATTCAATTATTACATATACTGTACTGTGTTGTACTGTACTGTACTGTACTGTACTGTACTGTACTGTACTGTACTGTACTGTATGCATATCTTTTAGGTTATCCTGTTGACAACCTTCCTCTGTTGTCTCCAAAAGCTGCCATAAAAGGAGGCCACATTTTTTAGGACCATCATCGTGTTGTTCATACAGTTAACCCTTGACCTACATGTGTTTAACTTGTGCAATTTAATATTTAACTGTGAGCTAGGAAAATTGCCTCAACTAATGGGCTTTCTCAGTTCCTGCGGTCACCAAAGCTATGTGCGGGATGATGCACATGTGCAGCTTCAGGAAGCTTAGCAGTAACCTAATTTATCAGTCAGTCTTTGTTTAACCATTGTGCTGCACTGCTGTGCTACATTTGCCTGTGTAACATTTATATATATATATATATATATATATATATATATATATATATATATATATATATATATATATATATATATATATATATATATATATATATATATATATATATATATAGATATATATATCTTGATAAAATCACATATATATATATATATTCAAACTCCTTATGGATTATGCTCTACTATCAATCTTCCCTCAGGTATATAGCTAAAACAAAATACAGTTTAAGTGAGTTTAATTTTGTGAATAATAAATTTGTCAAAAGGCTCCTAAAATAATATCTATGATCAAATACCTTGATAATGTGTACAAGTTTTGTATAATTTTCATGATTTTCCAATAGCCTACATTACTTTTCTCTGCAGGAAAGTAAACAGCCCAAGGACTTGAGTGAGATGCCTTATGCCGTACCAAAAGAACTTTGGTATTTAGTTGACCACCTCCACTCGCATGCCCTTCAAGTTGAGGGTCTTTTTACTTACCGTGGCCTTCAGAAGGAAATTGTCGACATCAGGTACTTTATTAGTTTGTGTCACCCTTACCTGTGTGTATGGAACCATCATCTTACTTAGTATCATCTGTAATTTAACTTTTTCATGAATGGGGTTTTATGGCCCTTTCTGAGGATATTTTCTTTCTTTTTGGGCAAAGTAATACTGTATCTCCCTGTGCAGGTACTAGAGACATAAACCAATCAGAGTACAGTTCTCATATCTGAGGGTTGGCAAACACGGTCCTCCACTATAAACGTTCTCGGGCTGTGCTTACCAATCCCCTAGGGTTTCTTATCTCTCTGGCGGACCAAGTTTATAATTTCATTCATCCATCATAATCTCTGCCTTCCTCTGGCCCTTCTACCCTCTACTTTCCCCATTTATATTTTTGTTATTATTCCCTCATCCCTAATTATATGACCAAAGTATCTCATTTTTCTTTTTCTGTACATTTCAAACACAATAAAAAAAAAGTCTGGTAAACTTTTATGCAGGGCTAAGGTATTAATCAGTTCATGTATTGTAAGTGGTTGAAGGTCTTACTCTAAACACTATTATTGTTTGCTCCTAATTTTAAGCAGTATTCTCATTCTAATGTATAATATCAGTGAATGGGAAATTTTTCTCATTCTTTTTAAACTCTGAGGGTTTTATAATTGAGAAATAGAAATTTTGGGTTGACTGGGATATTATTGCAAAATTTCAGTGTGGGAGCATGTTAAGCAAACCTCCATGCTCTGCAGTCTCGTGAGCTCACAATTTTTATATACAGTTCTATTCCATGAAAAACGAATTTACACCATAATATAGATGATTCTGTGAATTTTCAAGAAATATAAAACCTACATATAATTTAATTTCCATGGAAAAGTTTTTATGGCTAAGATTAATTTTTTATGAAAACTTTAACATTTCAGTTGTACAACTTCATTTACTGTATATTACCTGGTACTGTGTTATCGAACTAAATGTTAAGTCATAATGAAAATTTTGACCTTCACATTTGACATGGTACACTCAAAACAGCATAGCAACATTCTCCCCTGGTTGGCCAGATGAGGGTAAGTTGTCAGACACCTTCATTATGCATAGATTCCTTACAGCACCAAACTACACTTGCCCCTCCTCCCTCAGTGTTAAGTTAATACTGTATTTGATTATAGATACGTACATATTAATGTTGAACAGATGTACAATACATAAAGTACATAAATAAAGAGTTAGGGTAAGTACTCCTGTATCATTAGCTTTACATCAGACAAAAAGACATTTCACACCCCACCTTTGACTGGGAGCAAGGGAAGTTGCCAGTTGCTATTTGATAGTGTTTTTTGCTGCATTTGGAACATTTTTAAAGATTGCATAAGACTTTTTGCTATAAACCTACAGATTCACACATAAATTTGCTTTGAGCATACACAAATTCAAGAGTAAGGCAGAGGTATTCCATGTATCTTAATCAGGAAGGAAGGATATCCCTTTGTTGTTTGCCTTGATTAGTTGAGCTTCAGTTTACTTCTGGTTATGGGTGCTGTTCCTTGTAGTACTGTATTTCCTTTTCTTCCTGACTTTCATTGTATGAGCATTGTTCATGTTAAGATTATATCTGCAATGGATAATAGCATTACTCACTGCATCACATTTGTAAAGATGTATGTTTACTTCCATTGTTTGAGGTCCTGGACACTGAAGGATAGTTTTTCTAGAAGAATTCATGATAACCAGATGCTAGAGAGCTAGGGAGTACTGTATCAAATTCCCAAGTTGACAAACTCTCTAGGTTAGCTTTTGTACAAGGTGTATGATTGTCCAGTCCTGAATATTTTGTAGTACTTCCTCCCTCTTCTTTAAGCGGGCTTGATATTATGAGAGCTGCTGTGCTTCTGGTGGAGACTGTAGCAAGACAGTTCAGGAACCCTTCTCCTCTAGATTTCATGACTAAGTAGCTGGAATGGATGAGAAAAAAAAAGGTAGTTTGGATTGGAATTATCTACTTTCAAAATAATAGACACTGGCTTTGGTATGTTGAATGTTAAATGGGTAGTCACTGCTCTAAACAGTCCTTCTACCTATATGGGCATTGCTGTATAATATTCTCAGAGGAGGTTGATGGTACTATATAGAGGGAAGGAAAGGTTACAGTAATCAGATTATACAGTGGAATTAGCAGATTAACCTCAGCTAATATTTTCAGGCTTTGGTCCCAGGGACTTTTTGTCATCCAGTATTGTGAGAGTTGCATGACTATTGGTTTGCCCAAAAAGGAGGATTCTCAGGATCAGTCTTCTACTTGTACCATCATATCTACACTGGTTTGTTCCTTTTTTTCTACTGGAGAAAAGTGGGCAACTTAGCCTTGTTTCCTGATACAGTACTGTACCCATTTCAGAATTTAATAATAGCAACACCACAGAAAACTTTTGCCATGGTAATTATTTTCTGTACTCATAGCTAATCATGTTGGTCCTCTTTCTTCTTCAGAACTGCCTTGGATGAAGGTGTTCCAAATGACCTCCTGCCAGGAAGTGTTCACTCAGTTGCAGAAGCTCTGTTACTCTTCTTGGAAGCATTACCAGAGCCAGTCATCCCCTACAACCTTTATCATGCTGCCCTTGATGCGACACCAAACTTTTCTCTTTGCAAGGATGTATGAATATACTTCTTGTATTTCATTTCAGTGGCTTACTTACATTTTATGTTCTTATTCAAATTTCAAGAGTAAAAGATTTTGAATCATGGATGCAAATTCCCCTCTTGTTCACAGTACTGTCTAAAGCAAGTTATTAAAGTATGGAATTGGAATCTAAATTAAATTGAAATACTGTTGACCAGTTAACAAAAAAACATTAAGATACTTCATGGAGCTAGTGTACAGGTGTAAGCCCCATTTTCCTCCACCATCACTATAACTTTTAGATAAAACCAAAATCTTAGTATAACCCATTGTTTTACAACACCTTTCTCCTGGAAAGAAGGGAAGGGCTGATAGGCTCATTAGAGCCAGTAAACAATCATTCAGCACTCACCTTGCCATAGTGACTACCCAGACCCAAGGTATACGGATTAATCTGACCACTTTCCTTTCCCTCTTGGGTGACAAAATAGTGAAAGGTCCTAACTGCTTATATCTACAAAAGCTAATGTAATGCACTTCATGTTGACACTCAAGTATCTGTTGGCTTTTTTTACCAACAAGTTTAGTCATAATTTTATTAAGGTGAGTGTTTGTATTGTAGTCTTTTGTTAAGGTTTAGTTATATTTGACCTGCACAGATACATACTTTAGGCCACATCACCACCACACACACAACAAATACATATACTTGAGGCCACAATTGCATCACCATATGTACATTCATGTCAGTCATGGAACATTTTAAAGCTTCCAATAAGACTTACAGACAAATGGAAATTATGAAATACAATAAAGTTTAAAGCCTTAAATTTGTCATTATGAGGTGTTTGTTTGCTTTTACCATTGATATTGAATGTACCTGAACAACATAGTGCTGCCAGGGCAAGGGAAACTAAAGGTTTTCATTTGCTATGTCAGGTCATATTAGATAGATATTTACGGCAAATATGCAATCATATTACAGGTACTGCACTGTATATTGTCCTTTGTATTTCAATAGGCAATGTAGGGTATGGCAGTGCAACTCCAAAAATACTGTACTGTATACCAAAAAATTCTAAAAGACATTTATCCGGTACATTTATTACCCGACCAGATCCAACACCAGGCTGACTCCACACCATCATGTATCTATGCAGCTTACATACCATATTTAATGACAGAATGTAAAATATGAGCTTACAGTGTTGTAACATACAGAAGAGATGTAGAAAGTGTTAATGTAGATATAAAAATGGATGTATTAAGGTGTTTTGAAAAGGAGGAACAAGCAGTGGACATTACTGGAGCCCTTTGCTAGGATTTAGCATCACTTCATACATTTTCATTGTTTTCATTCAATTTTTTATTTTCCCAATTTTATTATTTAAAAACTTTCATTCAAAGTAAACCTGAACATTCCTGAATGTTTCATATGTGTTTGCTTTCAGATTATATACAAGCTGCCTGATTATCATCGCAATGTATTCACTTATTTGATGGCATTCCTGAAAGAGCTTTTGAACCATTCTGAGGACAACAACCTTGATGCCAAAACTCTTGGTAAGTGATGTGGATATTAATGTAATTCTTGTTCTTATGTTAATAATTATTGAATCATTTTTATTAATAAGTCCTTTTATATTATATACCGTTAAGTTCTTTATTAATCCCTAGGCTTTTGGTCACACCATATGACATGTGCTTTCAGGGCTTTGGTTCATGACATTTGGTGTTTTGTAATTTCTGATACTGTTTGAATCACCACATGGGCCTGGCTAGACTTTGTTACTAAGTAGTCATTTATCTTTTACTCACTAACACACAAAAACCTCTCAGTCTCCTTTCTTAGTAGCTTCTTACTTTCTGTGATACTGTATAGGAATCTCGCCCTTGAACTTCACGCGACTCACCACTTGTTTCTACCCCAACCCCCATGTACACATATAGTAAGGGACTCTTGACTATCTGCAGATTCATGAGGAATTACTGGATGCAGTGGTGTAATAATATAATAAAACAAGCATCCTGTATCTCATACTGTTAACTGATCAGTGTTGTTTACCTTGTACAGTACTACTAACCTCACCTTACTGCCACTTCACATGCATTTTTGACTTCCTGGCCCCTGTGATGCCAGCTTGTGATAAGAACATATATTTCTTTGCTGGTTATATCATGCATGACCAGTTTGTAAGATTAAAGTTGTTTTAATTTGTTTTAAGATTTCCCAAATATACCTGTGTGAGGTGTATGCTTGCCATAGCCTGGTACTGGTGAGTAACAGTGTTTTGCTACACTGTTATTCATGAACTAAGGAACATGATATAATTTAGAATACATTACTTCATTACAACGTTGTTTTGAAAATTAGAAAAATTTAATATTTAAAGGAAACATTGCAGGTAAATTACTTTGGGGAGCATTCCTAATGATGCAGAATACTATCACTCTGCCATATACACTAGCTTCAGTGTTGACAGTGATGTCATGTTTGATGAGACCCCAGTTGTGTTTTCAGCATTTTATATTAATTATCACCAGCTAAATGTAAGCAAAATCCTATAAATAGATGGGCAAAACAACCAGCAAGGACTGTTGTTGCTTCCCCACATACAGAATATTTAGAAGGTCAATTACATTGTGCCCTTAAGTTAATCGCCCTTATATACTTTTTCTTAGTAATATGGACTAGCTTTAAACTTTAAGTATGTTAGTTTTCATAAAAAGCCATAAATTGGCCCAAAAACACCTGACCTTGCATGATGTCATGAAGTAGATTTTGTTAATATTTCATACAAGGGTCCTCTTTTACTTGCTGGTGATGGATCTGGGTTCATAATTTAGAATTTTGAGTAATTAGTGATATGTTTAATTTCCTGCAATGTGTAAAAAAAACTGAGTTTAGCTGTTTTTTTTCCAGCTCTAGTTTTTGGTAGCATACTACTGAGAGAACCATCAAATTCAGCAACAGACCGCTGAACATCAGCTCAAGCAGTGGAGAGGAAGAAGCAGACTTTTGTCCATCACTTTCTTATGAATGATTATGAATAATGCAAATACAGTGCAATATACAGTATATTATAACTTTTTTATAATTCGTGGTGGACACAGGGCCTGCCATTTATTAATGCAGTTTATGCTTGCAATCATTTAGTATTATTATCTTGAGTCTTGTTGAAAATCTAGTCTTTATTGTGTTCTTGTTTGTGTAGCCCTACAATACTTGGTATTGTGAACTGACTTGACTATATTTTGGAGGATTTAAATGGAGTTGAATATCGTAATTAATTATTCATCAGGTAAACTTATTTATAGTAGCACCTCATGTGCTGATTCATTTGATTGCTTGATTAGTGATAATAATTGAAAGAGATGTTTCTTTCTTAAGGATTTATTTTAACTACTAGATTTCCCTACCAAATGCCATATGAACCATATCTAGCTGCTCATTCTTCAGTCATCCATAATTCACCCTTGTTATTACATGTCCATTCTAATGTAAATTTCACCTCCTTTACTACATATTTACTTTGAATTACATTACTCACTTCAAGATTACTGTTTGTAGTAAAGGTAAAAATATTTGAAATTTCTAGTTTTATACATAATGACATTTCATATTTTGTTTCTTTGTGTATGATAAGAAGGATCAGTTATATAAATACTGTTATGGTTAGAATTGTATAGATTATAAGCCTATGATCAGTCAGGGAAGCACGAAATCGTAAAATTTATCTCTTTTGTGAATTGTTTACTAGAGGCCTCACTCTTCATACTAGATGTAATGAATTATAGGCTTCATATTACATCTTTAGTTTGCTGTATTTCACCCTAGAATATGATTTAAACCCAAATGGAATTCCAGCCAATAGAAAAATCTTTATAAACAAGCTTAAAAATTGAACATGCGTGAGGCAGTAGGTTAACATGATTTAACATATGAAACAGTCTCATTGTGCTGTGAAACTTTGGCTAAAATGATGTAGAGGAAATAATATGGTAATGAGCATTAAACTCGGATCTCTTTTTAGTATTTTGATAAGTGAAATGTTTAATTCCCTGTGAATCTCCAAAGAAATTGAATATATTTATTTCTCTAGTTACAATATAACGGGTGATTTGTTTGCCGAGTTATTTATTAAGTACAGTACATATTACCCTATATTATCAGTAATTCCTTGCTAATGTTAGGTCACTTGGTAAAAAAAATATACCCTGTATATAACTTTAATGAATTGAATTTTATCAGAGTTCATCATATGAGAAGAAGGAATTAGATTTTGAAGATAAAAAAATGGATACCAACACCCCAAAGTATGACTGTGTGATTAAAAGTATTTGATTTCTAGATTGGAAAATACAGGGACCAGGTAGACCTCGATTATCACAAATTAGATTTATCACAATTTAATTTTTATGACCAAAATATTTGAATATTTTAACATGTCTTAATTTTTTGCAGTGCTGTTATAAGATAAAATGAAAACCATTCCCAACACCCTTCTAGAGGGCAAAGATATGTCATTTGGTAGAGAGGCATGAAAGAGAGAGAACATATATAGGGTGACCCAGAAAACTGTCCCTGCCTCCTCCCTCCCTCCCTTGCCTGCCCCCTCCCTGCCTGCTCTCTGAGACACTGTGAGTTGAGGAGGGAGGCAGGGACATTTTTCTGGGACACCCTATATATGTGTGTGCCTTTCAATAGATGATTCATTACTGCAACTTCTATAATTCCTTTATGCATTCTTACATTTATTACTTACTTATAGTTTTAATTTCATAAGAGTGGTAGAAATGGGTGTAGGTGGTGGTGGCAGGTGGTCACATGAGGATTGGACATGAGAAGAACATGCATATGTGTCTCAGTTATAGTTTGTATTATATTTTATATAAATTTGTATGTATTTAATTTTTTTTTAATTATTTAACTTTATATTGTGCTATATTTCATGTACATTTGTATGTATGTCATGGTTTTATTGATGTATAAGTCATGTTGTATGAGGAATCAGCCCAAGTACAGTAAACACTCCCAATACCGGACTAATTTGTACAAGTTCTATCCCTTATTGGGAGAATTCCCTTAAGGGAGGGTTTCCTCCCCTCTCTGTTTAAACATAAAATAAGTCAATACAATAGATATTTCACACATTGTTCTCAACCATCAAAAATCACATTTTATGTGTTAATACCACATTGGAAACACTGCTTCCTGTCTGATCAGCGAAGTTAAGCAACATTGGGCCTGGTTAGTATGTAGATGGATGACCGACCCCCTGGCCAAAAAAAAACCAGATGCTGCTGGTATAAGGACTCACTGGAAATAAGCATTTCATGGCTTTGTCAACTGTCCTTGATGAAATTGCTTAAATATCATTTACTAATGCACATTATACAGTACTGTATATAGAAATTCACTTTACCTCTTTGTGCTAACCTGGCATAAAGGTGGCAATGTCACGATTTATTGATAAAGCGCGCATTTTCTCGGACACAATGCTTACGGGATGAAGTCAAACAATGCGCTGATGCTGGTGCTCAACTCTACACCAGACCTAGATAAGTTAAACTCACAACAGTAATATTTCCTTTAAGTACATTTTATAAATAACTATAAATATGTATACAGTACGGTAAAGCCTCGAATAATGATGGTAATCTGTCCTCCAATATTGCAGTGTAAGGTGAATCATCGTATTGTGAATCAATAAGTACCATTAAAATAAAGTAATAATAATGAGATGCATTCCAACGTCTGACCTTTCTTATCTTTTGTGTGGCTTTTTACCCTCTTTTTCCCAAAAACAATAAAATTATTGAAAAATGCAAACTATATTCTTAAATAATGTTTATGAATGCACCTTATACAATATAAATGAATAATAATATGGTCACACAACAGATGGGATGCTATTGTTTTTGTTAGTGTTTACACCCGGGACGGTGGTTCTACATAAGAAACTGAAGAAAATAAGACCCTGGTTGTAGCTGTAGTAAAGTTATTGTAAAAAAAATTAATATACTGTATATGTTTTAAGTAATATTGTTTAATGTTAATAAATGGAACAATAGAAGTAGCTAACCACTGATGGTAAATAAATAAAGCGAGACGGATTTGGAACGCCAACGTATGTAATTGCATACTGTACTTGTGAAAGCATATCTTCATTTCTCTAAGGAATATGAAAGCAACACTTATTTACTGTTCAGATATGTTTTAGATAATACTTACAAATGTAAAACTCACCAATGGTGGTAAAGTCTAAAATATAAGGGCAGCCAATGATGATGTGTGAGTTTTTACTCAGATGACGAAGTCATCATGTTCAACTCTGGCTGAAGCTGCAGGTTCAACTTTGGCATCCCCATAGTGAAGGGGTTAGTACATTGTGTGTTATGGGAAAATTGGTTTTATTTATCATAATTTTGCACATCACAGGTTTGCAGGAACAGAACCCTTGTGATAGACGAGGCCTACCTTCATTACAAGCTATTTATCTGAATGACCTTATAAGACCCAATAATTTGTTTGCCTGATTTACCTATCATTGATCATATAGAATTTTCTGTGTGATATTGTATGTGTGTGTGCATGTTTACATTAAGAACGAAGTAAAGACATCAAAGTAATATTACCAAAAGTCAGGCTAGCTATACCCTTCACCAATGAATTATTTTACATGTATTCATTGTCACATTCTCGTAGTTTCTTTCCTTATGTTTTATCATTGATAATATAAAATATTATACACCATAAAAAATATAATATATATAATTTTCATTAACCTAAAATTATCATCACAAGCCTAATAATAAGGCATTTTTTTCACTTAGACCACCGGTGGAGGGATAGGGTAGACTTCACACACGTCCTATACTGGAACACTTCAGGTCAAACACTACTGTAGTGGATTCCTCCCCTACAAACGCTGTTGTCGAATCCCCAGTAGCCTCGTGGTCTGGGTCAGCAAACTGCCATGACTGAGGTCAATAAGCCACGTACCCCCACTATATAAGACCTGACCTGTGGTGACCTCCTCCCATTTACCGCCACCAGCAAACACCTCCACTCCTGCCTGGCGGCCCTCGCCCAGCCGGGCGACCCACACCTCGTGGTGACCTCTCTCACAGCCAGTCTTCAAGTAACACCACCTCCTCCGCTCCTGCTGGCGGCCTCGCCTGCCGGCTGAGCACCACAAGCTGGTCCTTCGATCCTCACCAACCAGCCTTCACACGCTTTGTAACCATGCTGCCTTCCCAGCACCAAGCTGTACATCCAATACAACATGTATACATAGAGCACAGAGTTTCCTTTCTCCATCCCATCCTGAGTAACCAAATAACCCGTACCTCACACTACTACTACTTAATAATAATAATAATACTGAATATTATTATTATTATTATTATTATTATTATTATTATTATTGCCACCACTTAATCTCTAGAATTTTTTCATTGCAATCAATAGTTTAAACAATTCTAAAACACTTTTCTATGACGATTCCCTCGCAAATGAGTTGACCTATATTATTATTGTTGTTATTGTTAGTGTTTGCCATTTAATCAAAGTGATACTCGGTTGCTCTATCTGATACTAACACCTTTAAACTCATTCACAGGTTTGTAATTTCCGTATTTAATCTCATTCAAAGTCATTTAAGTTCCGCATTTAAACTCATTCATGAAACATTATTTACGTCCATTTTCTTTGTGAGTAAAAGAAAATGTAACATTAAATTGGATAAACTTATTTAATTTGTTATTGTATGCTATAGCAATTATTTACTTGGTGTACTATATTTTATTTAGTTCTCTTCGTCACTGATCGGCTTGTTAGCCAGAGGTCGGTCACATCTCTGTTAGGTACTGTGGGCATGTCCTGGCTCGTTACTTTACGCACTGTTGGCAAGCTTGGGCGTCTACAGGATTTTTTCCAGGGCGAAAGGAAGCAAGACAAGACTTATCAGTTTATTCTAAACAGGTATATACATCCACCATATACTGTACATGGCTCTGCTATCGTAGAGAGATGATTTTGTTTGTCATGTAGTTGTAATATAAATAATAAGAGACCGCGGGTGCCAACGTGCACAATACATCTGTTGAAGAAACCCCATAATCTAAAAATTAAAATTCTTGAGGATGGAGCCTAGATTCTGACCAGGATATAGCCAAGGCATTGAACAGCTTTTCCTCGGTGTTCACAAGAGAGGATGCGATTAACCTTCCTGAGTTTGAGGACAGACGCTGGAACGGCACTGACCCACATTGTATTCACAGAGAGGGGATTAAAAATACACTGTCGCTAAAGGTCCATAAGGCCGCCCTGACATGGTGCATCCTAGAGTGCAAGAGTTGGCAAACGAAAACGAGCCCTGAAGATCCTATTTGACATCAAAAGCCCCTGTGAATAAAAGTTGGTGAGCTATACCTTAGAAGGGCGAGGTCACTCCACGTAACAACTAAAGACCGTGAGCCTGACCAGCATAATATGTAAAGTACTTGAGAGTATTATCAGAGATGCCGCAATGGAACACCTACTACGAAACAACCTTGTAAAGGATTGCCAACGCGGTTTTGTGCCGAGGAGCTCCTGTTTAACACAATTGCTCAAGGTATTATTATTTGGACCCATATTCTGGCACGGGTGGTAATATCGACAATATTTACCTAGATTTTGCCAAGGCTTTCGACAGTGTGTGGGGTATGGGATGTTTGGTTCACACTCAGGATGGGATGGAGAAAGGAAACTCACGCCTCATGTATACATGTTGTATTGGATGTACAATGCAGCTTGGTGCTGGGAAGGCAGCATGGTTACAAGCGTGATGTAGAGAGAGCTGGGGTGAGGGGTGCTCAGAGGAGGACAGCTTGTGGGTCGCCATGCTCACCGGCGGAGCGAGGACCGCCACGCAGGCGGAGGAAGAGGTGTTGCGGTTGGTGTAGGAAGAAAGAGAGCGATCACTACGAGGTTAGGTCTTAAATAGCGGGGTTGGCGGTGGCTTGCGCCGGACCTTCGCGCGCGCCAGACCCTGGAACGCTGTTCTAAATGCGGTCGGCTACTCGGCGACAAACAGCGTTTGTAACCACCACATGTACCGAAGGCTGAAAATCAAACTGGAAGGGAATGGAATCGGGGAAATGTTCTAGCGTGGATAGAAGACTTTCTACACGACCAAAGTAGTGTGTGGTGATTAATGGCACGAAATCATCATCCGTACCTGTCACAAGCGGGGTACCACAGGGCAGTGTATTGGGCCCTCTGTTGTTTGTTTGTTTTATAAATGACATGCCTGACGTTGTACACTCCTCAATACAAATGTTTGCCGATGACGCCAAGCTATTTCGGGAAATCAAGAACCAAGCGGACTGTGCAGAGCTCAGAAGGACTTCTGTGGGCTCCAAGAATGGTCGAAGAAATGGCTGCTGAGATTCATTGTCAGGAAGTGTAAGAGGATGTACCTGGGGCGTACCAACAAGAGGCGTATCATATGTCCCAACGGGATGAAGAAACTGCACTATTTGAGACTGAATGTGAGAAGAACCTAGTGTGTTTTTTGACAATGAGCTGAAGTTCTCGGCCCATGTAAAAGAAGGTAAATCAGGCAAATAAATTATTGGGTTTTATAAAAAGGTCGTTCAGATATCTAGACGGTCCGTCCCTCGTAACGATCTTCAAGAGTGAAGTGCTTCCCCATCTGGAGTACTGTCACCCCGTCTGGTCCCCGAGATGTGCTAGGGACTGTCAGTTGGTTGAAAATGTTCAAAGGAGGGCCACCAGACTGGTGGCTGCACTTCGGCACCTCAGCTACCCTCAGAGATTGGAGCGCCTGAACTTGCATAGCTTATACTACAGAAGGGCATGGGGTGACCTAATTGAGGTGTATAAGAATCTCAAGGGGCACTACTCAGTCGAGTGTCCTTCATTTGAGCTATAATGCAGTCACAGCTCAAGATTGAAGAAGCCGCAAGTCCAGAAAACTGTGAGGGCAAACTTTCGAGTAAGAGTTGTGAACTCTTGGAACAATCTACCAGAAAGTGTTGTGACGGCACCGAGTGTGAGTTCTTTCTAGACAAGACTTGACCAACACTGGAGTAGGTTCAGGTACATTCAGGAGCCGGTGCATGCCCAGTACTTGCCAACAGAGTGACAGAGACGTAACCGATCGCCCAAGCGGCTAACGAGCCAATGAGTGATGAAGAGGATAAAAGAGAGATTATATGTAGATGGGGATTTGTTTTTTCTTTCTTATCAATATTCATGATACTGTTAATGATAAGGTTCATTTACCTCTTTTCTTATCGACCAGATACCAGCAGATCACGCTACAGCAATTCTGATATTGGGCAGAATGTACCCGTAACATTTTAAACGATTTATACCTCCTCGGCATGGTTGAGGGTACTTTATTGTAATAGCATCCTGGTTTGTTAATATATAACAGAAGATCTGTACAATAGCGACATTAAGCCACAAAAATATGATAACTCTGGTGTCTTAAGTCTAGTTCAAATGAAAGCTATTACACAATTGCGTGATTAATTCCATCTGAACATTAGCTTTGTTCGACAGTCTATACCAGGGGTTCTTAACCTGGGGTCCATGGACCCCGGGGTCCATGGATGGGCTTCAAGGGGTCCGTGAAGGTCAGATAAAAATTTAACATTTATATTCAATCCAAACAACAACAACCTTCACATTGAAATGAACTTTTGAGCAGAATTAAAGTTTTTGTTTATGATCTGCACAAGGTGATTGTACCTATTTCATTTTTGTATGGAGTGGCCATTAATTTTTGCATAAAAGTGTGAAACATAATTCTTTGTTAAGATTGTTTACTTTATTTATACTTTGTGTATGTCATACACTGTATGAGGCAATGAATTTTCAATAAAATAAAATATATTCATTGCATGCAAAGTTGTGTTTATGTGCTTATGTGCATTTTTCTAGGGAGGGGGTCCTTAGCTTTCACCAGATTCCCAAAGGGGTCCGTGACTTAAATAAGGTTAAGAACCACTGGTCTAGACTTATAAGCCGAATTATGAGACTTATCTAACTGGCCGTAGAATCACGTAAGTTTTTCGGCCTTGTTAACTACTTGCTATTGAGGTTATTTATTGCTCCATTAGTTTCTATTCTTTTGGTTGTAACATGTTTTATTCACTAATATGTATTTATAAGTTGCTATCTCTTGATATGATTTACTCATTAGAGCGGAATTTCAAACCATATAAATTCTAAGAGTGAGAACTAGATGTGTATCAAAGTAATTATACTATATTCTTAATCAATAACGTAGAATACCAAAATGACAAAGTTTAAATCTGGCGGGGCAGTAATGTGACGCGCGCCATGTTAGGATCGAAGTAGTGGAGCAGACTCTTGTTCGATCCCCTGACGGAACCTGTGACCATTGATCAGCTGACATCATATGACAGAGGCGCAGACGCTTGTAGTACTGTATTGTGAACGGGAGCTGTCAAAAGTAGGTGCTGCTCAGAAATTGTACTAGTTATATTTTAAACTTGTCTGGTATAGGATTAGTGTTTATTCCCAGGTGAGTGGAGTGATATGTGTTGGTAAAAACAGGTAGAGAAGTGTAGTGATGAACTGTACTGCTGAGTGGTGGTAACATTTACAGAGGCCCGGCTCATTCTGTGTAGTGTTAGGGAGTGAAACTAATGTTAACATAACTGGAGAAGTTATACAAATATAATATATGTATGGTATTAAGATCACAAATATCATGCTCCTATTCATTTCAAGTAAAGTATGAAAAACTATAAACTTACTTAATTTTGTTTGTCATCAAAGTGAGTGTTTAGGGGTCAGGTTAGGAAGCTGAACAGTGGAGGTCAAAGCTGGTAAAGATTCGAAAAAGATCAACTACAGAACTCTTGGTGTGTATATAGGGAGATAAAAGTGAAGTTGGAGCAGACGGCTAACACCAGGAGTAGTTGTTCGGTTACGTTATTTTTCCACAGAAGTTCTTTAGATGATAGTAATCAATAAAAATGGGGTATTATTGACGACTGACCCGCTGCCGACTTTTCATAGAAAACTATTTTAAAAACGCAGCAATTTCACTTTTTTTTTTATAGTGGACACTTTTAGTTTGTGCAAATGTTAAAAGTGGTTATTTCTAAATTAAAACTAACCTAACTTTAGTGTCTATAAAAAAGAGACCTCACCAACCTAACCAAACAAACCTACCTAACCTTACCAAACTTCTTTATCAGGGGGCTCTTTCCCCTGGAACCCCCTGTATATTAAACTGAAAGAACTTACTATGACAAGGTGTAATTTTAAGTTTTTTGTGGACGTGAGACCAGCCGGCCGCATCAGAGTTGAGCCAGGCCCAGGTGGCGGAGTGTTTTGAAATACAGGTACGTTATATGCAACAGCCTTTGCTCACAAACCCAGTTCAATTTCACAGTATTGCTGTGAAAAGTACTTTCTTAGAAAGATGTTTATAAATAAAAGTACGATATCGGGTTTAATCTTAACATTTTCAAGCCAAGTTCCTTTATAAGCATTAGAACTGCGGTACAACGAAGTGCATCATGATGGATCCGAGTTATCTCACATGTTCACGAACTCTTTGGAATTAAGTTTTGCCAATACTGAAAGTTTTTCGCTGTTTATTATTTCATCTTACAAATTATTTTTACAAAATTACACTAAAAATATTATTAAACATGTTTTGTGTATGTATAACAGATATAGATAGACATTTTACCCTTATTTGCTATACTTTTGGGTACTTTTGGGTAATTCGTGGCTCCCTTAGAACTGTAGCACAAGACCGGCAACAACCTTCACATCTCATGCTCAAAATGAAACTGGAGCAGGAATGAGAGGTGAGTGTGGCAAAGAGCGAGGCCACATTACCACCGAGAAGACAGTGTAGTGTGTGCCTAGGCGCCTAAATATCTACAAAAATGAAGCATTTACACAACAAATGATTATCATATCAATACTTACTGATGAAAATAAAGAAAGAAAATTAACCGTAAAACAAAAATCTCATCCGTGGGTCAGTCGTCAATATTAACCTAAAAATATGACAATGCACAGAATTTAATATATCCTGACCTAACCTAACCTTACTTAACTTCCTAAAAGTGCCCTGACTATATTAAACAGAAAAAACATGACCTTGATATATTATCTGGTACCATTGAAAGCAACTTTTTTGTAGTGACATGGTGTAATTTTACATGTTTGTGGGCGAGGGAGTATGCTTGGTCGTTGCACTGAAACAGAGCTTCACTTGCCATGTTCGTTACAGGGATTAGACCTTTAAGTGTTTCTTTTGGGAATACGTGTACCATACTTGATGATTGTGGTGTGCCCATACCATAGAACAATAAAGCTTTCTTGTAAAATTGGAATAAAATGCATGAGGAATACATATATACTGTACAGTGCTGTATTTGCTTATATGAATATTTTCTTACACCTCTTCCTCACTATTGAAATGCTATTTTATCTGATGCAAATATGGTCCTTTAAGGGAATGTACCAAATTATATTTATTAAATTTTTTTAGCATGTTAGGTACTAGATTATAGTATTGTAGTTAGGTACTGTGGGGTGGTTCTTCTTCTGTCCAACTGTTAGGTAAAGTGGAATCAAAGGCATTTCGTCTTATTAACTTTTCTCCTTAAGTCAATAATATGTTCCCTTTCTCTTTGCTGCAATGTTGCTTCACTCTCTCATAAGTACTGTAACGGGCGTTGTTCGGTGCATTTGGCATTCGTAACACTCATCTTGCCCGCGGTGCCCACCGTTTGTGTGTATGTCGGTCACACTAGAATAACCTGTTATAGTACATCCTTCTTTCCTCACACAGTCAACCTGTGGAATGCTCTGCCTTCTGTGTTTCAATCCTCTCCAATTGCTTCCTACTTTTTGGGGGACGTTTCTGGTGTATATTAGCATATTGGTTTCTCCTCTAATTTTATAGTTTTTATTTTTTCACCTCCCCAGCCAGGGTCAAAGACCTCTGACTGGGTGGGCTATTCCCTATTAAGAATAACTACAGAAGTTCAGTACTAATTTACAGCAGTTATGTAGGCATTTTGTAATTTATGATCCAATTTCATTTTTTGTTTTGGTAAAGTACAATATTTTGGTTTTCTTGTCATTGGGGAACCAAACCATGTTTTTCCCATATCTTATATTATTTGATATACTATATGAATATTCACTTAACAATTGTTTTTTTAAGGAACCTAACTTATTTGTTTAACAAGGGATACCTGTACCCTGTATCTCCATAAAGTGGTATGTAAATATTTATTATAATTACAGAAATGACGAGTCTTGGTCACTTGGAGCAGGTGGCTGCTGTGCAACGGGACTATATTGCCCAACCACGTCTTTGTTATAAGACTGTTACGGGTGTCAATGGTCCCCTTGTTATCTTGGACGATGTCAAGTTTCCAAAGTTTGCCGAGATTGTCAATCTGCACCTCGCTGATGGCACTGAACGAAAGGGACAAGTGTTGGAAGTGAGCGGCTCTAAGGCTGTTGTTCAGGTGTGTGCTTATGGTTGTTGATTAAACTTCCTGAAGAGATGTTGTCTAAGTACTCTTTTCTACATAAACACTGAAGTATATACAATGATGTTGCCTTTTCACTATAACAATAAAACTTTGAACTTTTTACATGTTTACTCTCTTATCTTGAAGAATTTTCATAAACATAGCTATAAAACATAATGGAATATTAGTTCTTCGATCACAGGGAAACAAAATCTTATATCTCTTCATGTCATTTAGGTATGCTTTGAATAAATTAAAGATTCAGTTATGTAAAGTGTAAGCTGAAACAACACTTTGGGATTTAGAAGATGAGTACAGTACTGTATACAGTATATAATTGCATGAAGGAAATAAAATTTCAGTCTTGTTATTATGTATCCCTGAACCTACTGCAACTGAATCTTAAAACCAATTATTTAACCCTAGTACAGTAAGACTTCAATTTATCAGAATAATTCTGGTAATATGGATCATAAAATAGTCTGCAATTTATAAGATAAATTGTTATTGCACTGCCAACAATTGTGACTGTTGTGTTATTACTGTAGATGTTGACATAGTTGTCGAATTGGTAGAATTAACCATAGAAAAATGTACAGTATAGTACTTCTAATAAAAATACTGTTACAGTAATAATGATGTTAGTAATACAGTGTACAGGGTAAACAGCAATACTGTACTGTAGTACTCTATTGTACAGTACTTGTAATAAATATTACATACTGTATTTCATTCAGCTGTATTGTACTTAACCCAGTTCTCTACAGGCATATGGGTCATCTTTGTACTGCTGGTCAATTCCCTTGAGCTCTTTTTATAGATAATGAAGCGATGTATGTACTCTGTACTGTATTTCATTTGAAAATATAGTAGACTACAGGTATACAGTACTAAAATTTTAACTGCAGTAGATACATGATTTCTTCTTACAATATTCTAATGAAAAATTGTTTCAGCATGCATTAATGATTTGTTACTTTGGTGCTGTATTTTGCAAAATTGTGTTACACATTGAAAATATAAAACTGAAAATAAAGCATGTCTGTTAGTTGCCAGATACCACTTTATGATAGAGTTTTTGAAATTGTGATACTGTATAATTTCTTTGGGTGACTGCATAATTTGAGGATGTGTTTGTTACTCTTTTATGCATCTTGAAGTTTCATATTAAAATTGGATCTTTTCACTGAGGTAATCTAGGACTGAAGATTTTATTAATCTGAAATATGAACTGGAGTTCAGATTTATGGTAAATACTATTATCACTCACTGAAGGAAACATAAATCTTTGATATAAAGTTGAAATTGTATTTATTGTACAAGTAAGAAAAGTGTTCACAGATCATGAATACAAAGGTTAATTAAGATGTCACATGTTATTTTAGTTTGATTTCACATTTCGAGAGGGCTGCTGAACCAGACATAACCTGCATGAATTTCATCCAGTATTTACAGACAAACTGGGAAAGTAAATGTAGGTTTTTAAAAGGTATTAAAACTGTTTTAGTATTTCTGAGTCTGGTAATGTAAAGTCTTACTGTATACAGTATCTAAAACATCTTTGATTTTATTTAAAAACCCTAATTACCTTTAAAAACTTTGATAATTTTCCTAATAATTTTTCCCCTTTTTTTTAGTATCAGGGAAGTATTATGGGTCATATGTGGTGTTTTATGATGTCCTTTTCTTAGGTATTTGAAGGAACCTCTGGTGTGGATGCCAAGCACACTGTGTGTGAATTCACTGGTGACATCTTGAGGACTCCAGTGTCAGAAGATATGTTAGGTCGTATTTTCAATGGTTCTGGCAAGCCTATAGATCAGGGTCCCACGGTGCTAGCAGAGGACTATCTTGATATTCAGGGTGAGTCAGGCCTGTATTGTTTACTGCCTTTTGGATATGATAGTGTCATATAGAATGCTTAAATTTTCTGAGATATATTATTTGTTGAGGAAATAGAAGAACAAATTGCAGGACAAAGGGGAAGAGATGTGCAGGTAAGTGTATTTGTTAATATTTGAGTTGCCTATCATGAATGGTGAGTAATGAAACAGTGAATAGAAATGTAATTTTTTTTACACTTACATCTTATAGGGTAGTCAATATTACAGTTTGCTCTTGTTACTTCAGGAAAAACTACTCTTGGAGAATCACTTTGTTGTCAATGAAAATTTACCTTCATATTCTCTGTTTATCCATGTTTTTTCCTGACCATGTCCATGTTCCTCTCTTGCAAGTAATGGTGATTAATGTTTCTGTTATTCCTATTCTGTTACCAATTAGATGATGTGGAATAAGTTAATAAACCCAATAAAACACTAAATGCATATATACCTTAGTTAACATTTAGTAAACCACATAAACTTGAATTTCATTGATTGAATGCTATCCATTTTGCTCCCTAAATTGATACAGCTCTAAGATTCCTGTTTGTTCATATGATGGCTCATATAGACTGGGCACTGCTCCTTATAATTTTTTTAGTAAAATCCTTTGGTGTACTTCTAGATTTTTACATTTCAATAACAGGTTTAGTACATATTTATGTCATCTGTAGTGATGGATATGTAAGTTTTCATAAAATGACTGATAAAGCTCTGAACAAATGTTTTTCATAAGCTGTGAGGAATAGATTTGTGTGTACTGTAATTTAAACTGGGGTATTATGTGACTTGGGTCCAAGAATGGATAAAATATCACTACTGTACAGGTAGTACTGGAGGAGTGAGATAAGAAGCCAAGTGCCAGAACAGATTGTACTACAGCAAATGAGTTTGCCTGTCTATTAATACTGTACATGGTTTATAATCTTGAGTCTGCCTGAGTAACCATCTTAGAATATATTGATAACCTATACGTAGTCTCTTATCTTTGTTAGACTGCATAGTGAAATTAATTATGTAGGAAGTGTCAAAACAGGTTGATGTGAATGGATAGATTAAGATAGTTCAAAGTGTAAAAGAGGAAAGGTTTATGATAATGCAGTGAATGTTGTCTCCAGTACATGACACTCCTAGCTGTGATAAACACTATAAATCAATAGTATTCAGAATACAATTAATAGCTGCTTCAACAAATATAAATCAAATGTCATCATTCTGGAGTTTCCTGTGTGGAATTAAATCTCGAGTCTCTCTTAACCAGGTCAGCCCATCAACCCCTGGTCCCGTACCTACCCAGAGGAGATGATTCAGACGGGTATCTCTTCAATTGATGTCATGAACTCCATTGCTAGGTATGTTGTATAGATTCTAATTCCATAGTCATTCTACTGTCCAAAAAATTTAGACGTATTTTGTTCTTAAAGCCTTGGAATATGTGATTTTTATTTACAGGTAATTGAATATTTTTATTTAGTATATTTTATTTTCTTCTGTCATCTGAAGCTTGGTGCGTCTATTACACCATTATGTACAGAAACTCCGAGTTATGGATAAACTCGGGTAACGGATTTCAGACTTTACAGATACGCTCCCCACGATTCCTATTTAAAATGAGTGGCAAGTAATTCCTGGGCTGGGCGAGGAATATTTCCAAGTGTACCATATATTATGCTGTGGTTATTTTTTTTTATCTTAATTTTGGGTAGCTGGTAGATACAGTTCTGTATATACCGGATATATATGTAATTTTCTTAATTTTTTTATTTCTATACAGAAAGTGAATAAAAAAGTTATAGCAGTAATTATCATAAGATCTATATTATTTTTAATTTCGTAATTGCAGGTAAATATACTTATTCCCCTGTATCTGCAAAGGTTACTGAATTTAAAATGTAAAAAAAAAAAATTAGCATATGGTATCACTACAGTGACCCCTCGTTTAACGAACTCAATCCATTCCAGAAGGTCTTTCGTTAACCGAAAAGTTTGTTAACCGAAACCATTGTTTCAATGGGTTTTTGGGTAATTGGTTCCAGCTCACCGAAAATTTCCTAAATTCAACAAAAATGGTAGAAAAGTTCACTTACTTTGAGGTGTGTATGTAGAAGGCTCCTGGATAATGATGATGATGGGAATTAGAATGGTGGTGGAGGAAAAGGGAGAAGAGAAGGCATTGGGGTGGAAGAGAAGTCACCCCATGGCACCATTTCACCCATAAAATTTTAGTTCTCTTGGTGTAATTCAAGATTATTTTCTTTAAATCAACACTGCACTGCATTATATATTGTCAATATGTAAAATAAATTTCAAAATGACCAATAATTTGCTTGGAAACACAGAAAAAAAGCGTTTAGTTGAAGAGAGTCTCAAGCAAGATGTTCCCTCCAGTGAAAACAGAGAGACTAACGCCTGTTTGCTGTGTTAAGAGGCTGGATGCCGCACATTAAACTAGTCACTTTACCTTCAATTATGTTCAATAATTGTTAAAATGACTAAAAAATTGAATATTAAACTTTTAAAATTATTGAATAGTATAAATTTCTTGATATTTACTAAAATAGTAAGGAATTTAAGCCCTAGAACTGATTACTGTATTGGCGGACTGATACTAAAGCTGGTTGCCCGGTCAGCGCAAGCGAAAACATGTTGAGGTCGGTTCGTAAGAACTTCGTGAACCGAATTTTTTTTCGTTAACCGAATTGAAGATCTTTATGGAAGGCAGTTCGTTAATCGAAATTACGTTAACCGAGGCGTTCGTTAAACGAGGGGTCACTGTATTGTCATAATATTTTGGGTTAGAAATAATAAATGTTTCAGATGTTATCGATATTTATATGGAGTAAGTTTTTGTAATGCAAATTAATTTAACAAAAATATTTTTCTCTACGTATAATTCAAGTCTGCGTATGGAAATAAACATTAGCTTTTATCTCTTTGGACATTACTGTCTACCCTAGCAAACTGTTTTCTCTAATACAGAGCAAAGGACAGAAAGTTACAATACAGTAAGACCTCAATATACTGGACTTTGATACACCAGAATTCGCTTTTTTCGGACTCTTGAGGTCACTTCCGGTTTATGTATATGTCGGCTTATGGATTACCTCCAGGAATGGAACTCATCCATATCATTATTGATAGTTAAGTTGATGTTTATGAATGTTACCTGCTGAACGAGTAATCTATACTTAAGCTGAACTTCTTTCAACAGAGGGCAGAAGATCCCCATCTTCTCTGCTGCTGGTCTACCTCATAACGAAATTGCTGCTCAGATTTGTCGTCAAGCTGGTCTGGTCAAGGTACCCGCAAAGGGTGTACTTGATGACCATAAAGACAACTTTGCCATTGTTTTTGCTGCTATGGGTGTCAACATGGAAACTGCCCGTTTCTTCAAGCAGGTTGGAATGATTCTAACAGATAGGGAGTTACTGTACTATTTCTGTAGAGTAAATATGGAAGATTCATACTATAATAATATGGTTTTACTAGTCATTTCTATTTTGTAAATCTATGAATTAATTATGAAACTGGTAATAATTAAGCCTGTTATTACTCTGTCTTATAAAGTAAGAACGTTCTCTATGGCAATAACAAATTTCTAATTTGGGATACCGTCCAATTATATTCTAGGACTTTGAAGAAAATGGCTCTATGGAGAATGTGTGTCTCTTCTTGAACCTTGCCAACGATCCAACCATTGAACGTATCATCACCCCACGTTTAGCCTTGACTACGGCCGAGTACTTGGCGTACCAGTGTGAGAAACATGTTCTCATTATTCTCACCGACATGTCTTCATACGCTGAGGCCTTACGTGAGGTAGGTATTTGTTTATTTTTAAATTTAAAGTGACTTCACAATATATTTTTATAATCTTGGAAGAGACTTCAAAATTAACTAAAGGTTTTCTTATAATTTGTATTCAGGCAGTTACTGTATACTGTAGTACAGTGTAGGTTAATAATGTAAATGTTAAACTAACAAAGTGTTGGTAATATGGCAGAAATAAGTATTTCAGGTATAGACCCTCAAAAGAACAATCTAGTTTTATGGGTCTTGTATCACCCATGTTACCCTAGGCCTACCATTAGACTACTACTCAGGTTTTGCTCCCACACACTAAAACAAATTTTGTTGAATGTTTTTTTTGTTTCTCAATAAACAAAATAAAACTTGAGTGCATTCTTGAGTAAAAAAAATATTTAATATTTCTTTTTTTGTAAATAGGTAGGCCTACATAGCATTTTATTGTAGGTGTGTGTTTACATCCTGAAGCTGGTAAAGGTCTTCTTATAGTGATTCACAGTCTCTTAGGTTCTTAATTTCTCTGAGTACCTAAATGTTGTCTGCAAACTTTTGACTGGATGAATAAATATCTTGTGGTAGGTATAATATCAATCAATATATCTTGACCGTATTTTAATCATTCATAAACTTAAAAAAAAATCCCTATACAACCAGTAATACCTGCTACTGTATAAACTTTTCTTTTATCACTCACATTTTACTTTACAGAACATTCCATTAACCTTCTGTATATACATAAACCTTACACTGCATTTGATTTCAGGTATCTGCTGCCAGAGAAGAGGTACCTGGCCGTCGTGGTTTCCCTGGTTACATGTACACAGATTTGGCTACTATTTATGAACGTGCTGGTCGAGTTGAGGGCCGTCAGGGTTCTATTACACAGATCCCTATTCTCACGATGCCTAATGATGGTAAGAAACTGTCACATGCAAGGCAAACCATGTGGTTTGTCTATTACAAAGTTTATTAGTTTTGAGTTTTTAGCTGCACCAGCATCTCTATATACCACTGTCACCGATTTATTCATTCATTCTCACACCTTCCAAGATGAAATTTATTATAAGCTGATATAAACTAGGCCCTTTTTATGGGACTTTAGACAAAATTAAACTAAACTTCATAAATGTTATGGTCACTCATGCACAGACAGAAAATTTATATGCTTGCCTTATGCATAAAGTACTTTTTACAGTAGATATTTTGTTTCAGCATGCTTTTAACATTACATGATCACAGGCCTAAGATAGTCCTGATATCATTTGAAATACTGTACTGTATTTGCATGGTTCCCGATTTATTGTGTATTTAATTTTTGAGTTAATGTAGTTTAATAATGCTGCTTGTTTTTTCAGATATTACCCATCCTATTCCTGATCTGACGGGTTATATCACAGAGGGCCAGATTTATGTTGAACGTCAGTTACACAATCGTCAGATCTATCCTCCCATCAATGTACTACCATCACTTTCTCGACTTATGAAGTCTGCTATTGGAGAAGGAATGACTCGCAAGGACCACTCTGATGTTTCCAATCAGCTGTATGCTTGTTATGCCATTGGCAAAGATCTCCAGGCCATGAAAGCTGTAGTGGGCGAAGAGGCTTTGACCTCTGATGATTTACTTTACCTCGAGTTCTTGGGGAAGTTTGAAAAGACATTCATCTCACAAGGATCGTATATGAAACGTACTGTCTTTGAGTCGCTGGATATTGGGTGGCAGTTGCTTCGTATCTTCCCCAAAGAAATGCTCAAACGTATCCCAGCTTCTACACTTGCAGAATTCTACCCCCGTGACCGACCACAGTAAGATGCAAAAAGATGCAGTTCAGTATTTGTGGTTTTGATTATACTTTTAAAATTAATGGTTGTACATTTGTCAAAAGTATATTTTTGTTTACCGCTGTGCAAATACATGAAAGAACTTTATTTTGGGGCTTAAAGCAAACTTTGAAGACATTATACGAGTCTAATCATGATGGAAATAAATTTTAAGAAATTAAAAACGGTTTTAGACATATTTTTTAAAGGTGATGTAAGTTTCCATTGTTATAGGGGGTAGTTTTAATCTTATATTGCCCAAATAGGAACTATTGTAGTTAATTAATAAAATTAAATTTTTTTGGCCTTATGATTGATTTGTTATTTAATAAATTTAGTTCCATATGTAAGTGTTTTTACAGTACTTACCTTGTCATAATTCATGGACGCAGGTGACTTATAGTAATTTGGGTACAGACCTTCAACTGTTCATCATAACCTGAGTGGCAGCATTCTGCCTTGGTTCCATAACATATTGGCAGCAGCACTGCTTGATCTAATTATAAAACGAGAACAATTAGTGGAAATATATTTGATTTAAATGCTGTCTTGCAAGGGTGGTCATTGGGGATAAAAATGAAAATTTCTTAATGTGCATATTAAAGATTATGGTACCAATGCAGCTAACAGGACAAACTTTCACCATGTTATGAGTTGGAGGTTTTTTGTAAGTATATTCCTGTAGGTTGTAAACATTTTCTTGATATGCTGTTGTTACTTAGCACAACTCATTAGAAATATGGTGCGGTTGTTGTATATATATGTAATAGTAGAGCAGTTATGTTGTGAGCATAATAAATATAAATGGTTTTTCAGGCTAGAGTGAATCTTTGGTAAAAAACGTGTTAATATACATTCCAAGGACTTGCCACAGCTGCTCCCAGTTATTTAAGAGATAATACTTTTAATTCATTGTACTACTGTGTGTTGGCCTTGTGTATAATAATGTATGTGGAGTACATTTGGAGACATGTATGTCTTTTGTCAGAATTACAGCATTGTTGTAAAGTTGTGGAAATATTGACTATTGTCTCCAATAAAATGTATCATAGCTATTCTCAAGAATTATTTCCTCTGTCTTATATCAGGAATCTCTTTAACTCCTGAGCCTTTGTGCAGGCTGGCCAGGAACAGTATACTGTACTGTCTGCACTCTTAGGATATCTGTGAAGTTTATGTAAACAGACAGCTGACACACCAGCGCCATCTCTAGAATGAGCAAGGCAATCCCTATTAGATAATGCTTGTCCGAGTGATGGCAATGAGTCGGCTGTCTGTGTCTACATATTTTAACTCTTCAACGTGTGCTAGGTGGGTGGCGTGACAGTAGATTTCCAAACACCGGACAAAGTTGTAATTGTGGGAAAATCGAAGGAAACCATATAGAACTTCAGATTCAATTTCTTCTTAAAAGACAGAAGGTAAGTTCATAGTTAGGTGGTTGACTCCTACGACAAAATGTAAAGTCAAAGGGGCTTATAACTTTTTTTTCATATTAATTTTCATTAACTTTGTTGCATATCTGGAAAGGGTAGAACTACCCCAAAAATATACTCTGAAAAAGGGGGGTTACTCCTAGGGTCATTAACTGCAATTTAAACAATTATTTGAAAGCACTTTCACTACTCTCACATTTATGATGTGCTTTTTTTGTGGGGATTAGCCCACCCGGGCACAGGTGACTAATCCACATCAGGACCGTGGGGGCGAAAATGTAATAATAATTCAAATTAAATATAATTAATAAAAATACAATATTAAAAATAAAATAGTTATAATAATACACTAATAATAATAATGATGATGAACCATATAAAATGCAAAAATTAAAACAAAAATCAATAGTAAGAAACAATATATGTATGTTGTGTTAAAGTAAGAGAAACGATTGAGACCCAGCAATTGTGTGTAAATGAGGCAGAAAGTCAGATCTGGGACTTGGTCACAATTTTCGTGATGCCATATGGCAGCAGGGTTTACCCTTAGACAACACATTATGCTTCCAATACCTTGTGATTCACCTCTGGCTGCCTCTCCTTCCACCTGCTGTAAACTACTGTTAACGCGATTATGACGACCAGGAACAGTCGTTCGCAAGTTCACCAACGCCATGTTTTTAGGACCAATCCAGTAGCGTAGCCAGGGGGAGGGGCATTAAGCTCTGTTCCAGTACTTAATACTTAATGGTGAACAGTGGCATATGTAATTAAGGTCAATAAATATTGGATATTGCGGGAATGGGTTATGAGGGGTTTGTCTGGTGCATTCATAAATTTGCGGTGGGACACAAGTCACGAGGAGTAAGGGTCACGGGTTACGACAGGTGTGGGCGGTGAGGCTCAAATGCTGCTCAGTGTCCTGTGATTGTTTGTGGGTGGGAGGGTCAGGTCCGCTGGTTGCGATATTTTCCCCCACATTTGCCTCAGTCACTTGAAAACCTGCTTTGTGGTAACATCACTTGCTGAGGTGTGTTTGGGTGTAGCACTGGAGCATCCCCCATTTTGTCAACAACAGAGCAAGGAAATTATGAAGAGGAGGATTCCAAACCAACAGAACATAAACAGTTTCTTTCACCAGCAGCCAAAAGGTAAGTCATGTTACAAGTCTTGCTGTGGTAATACAAGCATTCACGCGATCTCCACAAGCATATATAGCACACTGTATACTTTTTTCTGAGACACCCTGTATATTCCTGCATAATAGAAAGTGCTACACATTTAGTGCCTTCTGCAGATACGGTATTGTTATGAGACGTGTGTATTTTTACTTTTTTTTTTATCCTCTTCACCACTGATTGGCTCGTTAGCCGCTTGGGCGATCGGTCACGTCTCTGTTACGCACTGTTGGCAAGTACTGGGCATGCACCGACTCCTGAATGTATCTGAACCTGCTCAGTGCTTGTTTAGTCTGGTCTTGAAAGAGCTCACACTCGGCGCCGTCACAACACTCTGGCAAATTGTTCCAAGAGTTCACAACTTTCACTCCGAAAAAGTTACCCCTCACAGTTTTCTGGACTTGCGGCTTCTTCAACCTTGACCTGTGACCCCTTGTGGGGCGAGCGTCCGCCAGCTCCAGGTAAGGGCACTCGACTGAGTAGTGTCCTTTGAGATGTTTATACACCTCAATTAGGTTATCCTCACCAACTTAAGCAGGGAGGACGGATCTATTTCATACCACTGATAGATAAGCGAAAGAAGTAAAATAAATTAATTCCTAATGTGGTGATAAAACTTTGTTTATAGTCAAGGCAGGAGAATGTGTATGGGTAGAAGGGAAAACGAAAACATCAAGTTGGCTAGTTTGGTAGTTGGTACTTTTAACTATAGGGAGCTCTTTAAGTTTCGGATATTAGCGTCTCTCTTTGGTATATTCCCATTTGGTGAATATTCAGGTTTGGCGGATATTCCTTTTCGGCGAATATTCCCTTTTTCGAATATTCACCTTCGACGAATTCCTTTTTGGCGAATATTCCCCTTTGGTGGATGATCCATATGGCGAATATTTCCCTTTGGTGGATGATCCTCTGTGGTGTTTAGTAAAGTTGGGTCTCAAAATCCCTGCGGCTACATACTTTTTTCTTCACGTCACTCGCACAAACGCAGGGAATATATACAGTATCTTTTTCCCTGCTCCTCCGCCTGTAAATTGAAAAGAAGTGGCGGCGAATGTCATCCATTTACTGGCGAAGGAAACAAAAATATAGCACAGTCTCCCCGTCCCTTCTCCCCACTTCCTTCGTTTTCTTTATGGTTTTCTATTTTCCATTTGTATAAAGGGAGGTAGGAGGGAGGGAGAGTGGGAGACAAGAGATGGAGTGAAGGAGACAGGAGGGAGATATTGTAGACAGTAGTAAAGGGATACAGGATAAGTAGAGAGAGAGAGAGAGAGAGGGGGGGGCAAGAGAGGGAGAGATGGAGACAGGAGAAGGAAAGATGAAGATAGATAGGGGAAGGAAAATGTGGAAGGTGGATGGTAAGGAGGATAATTGGAGGGGGAGGAGGAGGAGATAACAAGGAGAAAGGGATGTAAAAAGAGATACAGCTGTGAGATTAAAATTAATTAGATGGAAGGTGAGGGAGAGAGAAGAAATATTGGATGACAGATAGGAGGGGGAAAGGAGGAAACAAGAAATAAGAGGTGATAGACAGAGGAGAGGAAGAAACACAGACGGTGAACTGACAGATGAGAGGAAGACAGACAGACAGAGAGGAGAGGAGAGGAAGCTAGAAATAGGCAACGGCTAACTGGCGTCGTCGTCAACATGGGGCTCTAACTGGTATATATACTGTACGTGTTTGGCTTAACAACATCACTACACTACACACACACGAGGAATCAATATCATCTAAGCTCTATGTAGCCTTGTGTAAAAAGTGATTTATCGACGCCATTTCGTTTCAAAAATTTCATGTGTGGGGGTGGGTGGGTGTGGGGGTTGAAGGTTGAGGGGAGAGATACGGTTCCTCCCCCCCCACTCTCTCTCTCTCGGGATAATAAAGATGTATAGTATCTCCCTTGAGTCTTTCCCCGTCTTGTTCCTCTTATCGCAGCTCACACTCTCCACTGCCTTCGAGTCGGTCCTTTTATTTTCAACAAATATGATAACAATTTTCCCCTCCCTTTTGTTGTCGGGGGTTGGTCAGTGTTGCCCACCACAGATCATACTGCCCACAGTCTTAATGTACCCCCCCCCCTCCTAAACTAGCCCTTCAGAATGGGGCCCGTTAGGACTAGGACGTTTGGTTAAATTAGGTTTAGAGCCCATTTGAACAGGGGCCCATTACTACTTGGACTTTTTTTTTTTTAGAATTGAGGCCCATTAGGACTGGGAACCAATTTTAATGGTTGAGTTAAATAGGGTTGCGGCCCCATTAGGATTATGGTCCATTTGTCGAGCAATGCATCACCCGCCCTCCTAATTAGACTCTACTCCTCTCGTGGCCCTAATAACTTATGCTGGAGGGATGGGATGTGTATCTGTCTGTCTGTTTGGGAGGGGAGGGGGTTAGTCTATGCGGTAATCATACGCTCGACAACCAAAACTTTTTACTTAAGTCTGACGCCCCGCTCTCCTCCCCACCCTCCCACTTCCCCTCCCCTCCGACGGTAAATATTAAAATACATAAGAGGAAATAAAACACCCAGTCATCCCAGTCACTTCATAAAGTACACTGTGTCCTCTTGTGATCGTGTTCTTCCTTTAATGATGTTTATATTGTGCTCTTAGTTGTTCGGGCTGTAGATAGGGTGGAGGAAATTAGGATAATGTGCTTGTATAATCCAACGTGGGTTACTGGTGATGATGGTGCTGGTGATGGTGATGTTACTGAAACCGTTGAAAATTGTTATTAAACCGAACCCTTTCATAGCTTCTACGACATATAACCTTAACCAATGGTGACACTTCGTACCCCCCTCCCTCCATCACTCAGAGAAACATTAATAACTTAGGTTTTTATCATACAGTAGTTGTCCATAAGTGGTTTTATCATACAGTAGTTGTTTATAAGTGTTTTAGCATACAGTAGTTGTTTATAAGTGTATGTATTACTTTGCAGAAGAAAAATAAAACATAAAACTCCCACGTGTAACAGAGACGTTAGAGAACTTTCACTCCACGCCATTCAGAGACCATCAACACTGAACCTGCACTAGTGAGCCCGGCAACATTTAGCAGCTAAGAGGCGGCCTGTCTTTCAGATACTAACAAAGAGCTTAGGTTGAGACTCAGCGTTTATACAATTGCCGTCCATAAATAAGCAACAACAAAAGTTTCACGAGTGTAACTGTCTGCTGGGGCTCGTATGTTTGGCGGGGTCGTAATGTTAGCGATTTATTGTGAGCGTTGTGTGGGTAGCCATTACGGCGTGACCCTCGTGGTGGTGGGGGGAGGGGATTGTGGGTATGTGGGGGGATTGGTGACAGGGGGAGGTTTGTGTGTGTAGGGGGAGTGGTGACGGGGGGAGGTCTGTGCGTGGGGTGTGGGGGAGGACGACTGTGTTGGGTTGTGGTGGCATTGGTGACGCTGTGGAGTCATCGGGTCGATCTCTGTTGT